GAATTTTTAATCTATACATTAATTCATTTTGTACGAATTAGTTCATAAACTCTGAGATAATAACAGCGGTTATAATTATTCACGGTTTGGATTAGCCCGATAATGACCATTGGACCATCGTTAGCAAGATGGACTGCAGCGTGCTGCAGTTGTTCTCGCTCATGTGGCAGTAATTTACATCCATTTCTTCATGTGGATCATAGCAGCGTATCTGCACCGTCTAAAAGTTTCCCGCTGAACTAATTTTTATGTTTATAAAATGTTCAAAAGTCTCCTGTAATAATATCAGGTAAGAAAAAGGATTGGTTTGATATGAAATATTTATTTGACGATATTTTTCCTCCATCGTCATGCCGATTGTTATCTTTATTTTAAATAATTGAATTATTTTCTTGAATTGATTGGTTCAATATTTTAATTATTGATTTAAATAATCACAATATAAGGTCACACGAGGTATTTTGCACTCTCAGTTCCAACTCATGTAATCACCTGAGTTCATGATAGCTCGAACGACGGCCTTCCGAAAATTTTTTTTACAATTTTTGGTACAAACATTATCTTAAATTGGATGATCCTTATTTTGCACTACATTGAAATATACAAGGAACAAGCTTGTACTAAAGCAGAGCTGTTATGCGAACATGCATACTCGTACATCATTATGATACATTTTCTTACAAATAAGTGACAAAAATGTCTCAGGGAACACAACAATTTTAGGATCTTGGCTTAAGGTTCTCTAAAAAAAATCGTGGATGTAATTAATGATCATTGCTTTACGTCAAAATTAGAATTTAGTCTCCAAGCACGTTTCTAAGGCTGGGAGTTGTAAACACAAGTTCAACCTTGTGTACTTCTAATAATGCTAATCCCATTAAGGTATGGTCTGTTTCTATGAAATAATCTGGGAACCTGAGGCGACCAAAGAACGAAAAACATGATCAAAGATTGTTTTTTTTTTCTCGCTCGCCTCTTGATGACAAAGGCGAGGCTCACATATCACTGACGACGATTTAGCGTATCAAGATTTCATGACCATTTGAGATGCCTCTTTCCCCAAGGGACTCAAACTGACCATCTGAACTCCTAAGCATGATCTTGTTTGAGCCCAACATGGGTCATTCGCAGTCGAACTTTCGTTGGGTTCAGTTCTTTCCCGTGTGCTGTGAAAGCTGTACGTGTTTTCCTGCATCCTGCATATACGATAAATCGAGTGAAGTGTTTGGTGCTTCTACAAAACATTTTGCTGAATATTGAGTAACCTTCATTTGGTTGTGTTGTTTAGTCTGCATTATGGAGCCTTTATATTGCAATCATCAGGAAAATGATGATGATGGATTATACGTAAATAACCCGTGCGCGAGTGCGAAACACGATTCCATTGTCAACAATCACCTGTACGGAAACCTACTACAGGCGATGCTCGCAAAAGACGGAGTCAATTTGTGTGATTCCTTAGATGAACACACCTACGAAAGTGTTGAAGATTTACAGTTGAGTGAAATCGGAATCCAATTAGATCAAAATTGTCATATTACCTCGCAAAATAGTCGTCTTCACTTCAAAGTCAGTAACAATACAAATATTGAAACCAAACATGACTTTACGACACCTCCGGGCCTCGCCAAGCGTCCTGGAATCGAAGTGGAATCTAGAAACCGAGTTTACGCTGATATGTCTGCTTTCAGGAGCCAAACGCCCTTTGCAAAACAAATACTACAATTTCGCCCACGTGCTTTAAGCAATGATTACCAAAACCCCGAACAGCTGCAGCAGCAGCATCGTCTCATAGGTAGAGATCCGTTTCTCCATCACGCCAACCAATGCGTTCCAAAAATTACACCTGTTGTTGCCACAAAAATTGTACCTGTTGTTACCACAAAAAAACAAAACTGCACCTACAAACGACGTGATAAAAACAGTACAGCCCGTGACACATCATCGCAGCCGCGGGCCCACTCGTCATCTGCAAGAAGCCATTCCAGGACCCAGGACAGGTTACTGGCGTACGCCTCCTTCTCTCGCACCATCAACTCTTCGAGCGTCTCGAAGCTTGAAGGGCAACCAAGTCGACCAGATGAGAACGTTGATTTAGGAAATTCCGGGTTTCAAATTAACTTTAATTGCGGAGGACTTCAAACGACGTCTTCGCCAAGTCCACGATACATCTCACGAGCAGAGTATGCTCGTCGTCATGATCTACTCCACGTTTTTGAACAGAAGCAAGAAGAAGAAGATCAGAAAACACGTTGGCAAGAAATTTCCGAAGGTATTTTTGCCTGTATTGGGGGAATTTGTACGCCGGATGAAAGCTGCTCGTGCAAGAAGAGCAATACAAGACCTCAAATCAACAACGCATCAGTTAAAAATCAGACGATCATACAAGTTAATATCAACGAAACGCCCTCGAATGCCCATCAAGGCACTTCGTTTCCAGCACAACCGCGACGCGTTCCTCGGAATGATATAGTAAAAAATCATCACTTAGCGAAGCTGCTAGAAGCAAATGTGCAGCCTTCTGTGTCCAGGACCAGGAGAAGCACTGAGAAACCCAAGCTTCATTAAAGTGCTCCAGGCTGATCTTCATTCTAAGGAAGGTGAGAAACCCTGTTCTGAATTTAATACCTTTATGCTGATAGCTTTGTCTGTTGATCAAATAAATTAGGGGCAATTTTTTATAACAAATTACTTAATTTGTCAGCCATGTTATTACAATTTTGTGCGCCTATTAAAACCGGTCAAGTATATTCGGTTCATTAACACAATAAAAATGTAACCCTCATAGTAACATGTTGCTATATATAGTCTCTCTCCATTCAGTATCATGCTTGCGTGGTGAATTCAAGCAGTGCTTTAGCACCAATATTTATAGTATTGATTTTAGTGCGGCTCTAGATTTTGCAATTAATTTTTTGCTGACCTACGCTCCGGAATGATTCGCATTAGATTATGTAAGGAGCAACTCTTGTTTTTTCTGAAGCGTAAAATTGAACGCGGTTGAATAATTATATTGAATCACAACCATTGAAACTGCAAGGCTGCTTGCATCTTCCAATGAAACTCATGACCCCAAGTCACGTATAATTTTCATAAAGTAATATTATTGAAAATGAATAATATATTAACGAATATTATTGAATATCATTTCATTGGAAAATGCTAAAAAGAAATATTGTGATTCATGTGTCTTTTTGTTTATATGGCACCGCGGGATCATATATACGAGTATATTATTATGCAGATGAATTGCGACGTAGATATCCGTGAGGTCAGGCTTGAAGCAAGCATAAAGTTAACTGAAATTTCGAAATATTAAAGAGATGAGAGTATCGGGTTTCAATTTGAAGCCGATGTAGGGGTTAGATGCATGGTTGAACTAACTTTAGAGGAGTCCGCCCAAAACATATATTTCGCGAATTATTGCGTCTCAGCTACTTAAACAAATGCGAATTCGGTAACATTCACTCAGTTTTGCTATACAGGGTGTCCAAAAAAATCATACTCACCTTTGAATGGCTGTAACTCGAAAAGTAATAGAGTTAAAAAATTTGGAAGGTCGGGATTTGTTCCCTATGGTTTTTCTCTATCTCTCCACCAAAAATCAGACAGATCAATGTAGCCATAAGCGTTTGATAGAACTTTCAGTGACATGTGCTAAAATCGTGCTTGCGCAAAGTTTTAGTAAGATCATTTTGCATAATCATTACGTTGTCTTGACATGTTTTCTTTTCGCTGTTTGATTTTTAGCACATTTTCTCATTTATGAAAAAATTCACTATTGTGCTCGCCATGTCCGTCTGTCCGTCCGTCCGTCTGTCTGTCCGTCTGTCTGTCCGTCCGAGACTTCATGTTTTCGTCGACGAGAAAAGGTGCTCTCTGTCACTCACTGCAGTGAGTACAGAGTTCCATTTTTTGTATCTTTGGTGAGACGAAAACATGGCAATCGTTGGTGAGAGGCAATCATGACAATCTTTGGTGAGACACAATCATGACAATCTTTGGCGAGACACAATCATGACAATCTTTGGTGAGACACAATCATGACAATCTTTAGTGAGAGACAATCATGGCAATTTTTGTTGAGAGAGAATTTCAAAACCAAAGATTACCTCTTACCAAAGATTGCCATGTTTTTGTCTCACCAAAGATACAAAAAAATGGAACTCAGTACTCACTGCAGTGAGTGACAGAGAGCGCATTTTCTCGTCGACGAAAACAGGAAGTCACGGACGGACAGACAAACGGGCAGAAGGACGGACGGACAGACGGACATGGCGAGCACAATAGTGCATTTTTTCATAAATGAGAAAATGCGCTAAAAATAAAACAGGGAAAAGAAAACATGTCAAGACAACGTAATGATTATGCAAAATGATCTTACTAAAACCTTGCGCAAGCACGATTTTAGCACATGTCACTGAAAGTTCTATCAAACGCTTATGGCTTCATCGATCTGTCTGATTTTTGATGGAGAGATAGAGAAAAACATAGTAAACAAATTCTGACCTTTCAAATTTTTTAATTCTATTACTTTTCGAGTTACATCCATTCAAAGTTGAGTATCGTTTTTTTGGACACCCTGTATACGATACATTTGAAATATTAGTGTTGCGATAAACGATATATATTATTTTTAAATAAAATCACTACGGTCAACACGACAAACAACTTCATATTAAATATCTTAATTTGGAGGATTATAATCAATAGTTAATATCTCGAAACACGATGCTTTAAAAATGTCCGACCCCACGAAAATACTTCTCTCGTAAATTGTGCCTGCTGAAATAACAATGCCTGTCGGTTCATGGAATATTTGTTATGGATACAATGAATGTATTCATCAACACATACTCGACATTTCATTGTATAAAATTCTATATCACCACAGATAGCTTATCAACAGACATGGTCATCACATGGCAGCTTATCATATCTTCGTTATCTCTAACACTAAACGATGTGAGCCTTGACTTGAACAATTTGTATTGCGCTGTTACAGTTACGGATGTGCGTCACTCACACGTGCAAGTTTGTCATTGCGTTGGCTTGAAGGTAACAAGCATTATTATTTTTTAATTTTGTTAGCCTTGATCATATTTTATTTTCTTCTATTCCTACTTTTGATTTAAAGGTGATGAACCGCTTATCTTCTAAAGAATTGAAAAAAAATCTATTGTATTTTTGTTGTTTTAATCACATCACAAGTGCAAAGTTCTAAAGTTCTTCCCCTTAAAAACATCATAGAAATCAGGGGAAATTTGGTGCCATATGACATTATTCATTTTTCTAGTCAGTAAAATTGGTCGTCGAAGCTGAGTTTTTCCATAATTATATAGAATAAAAAAGAAGTTTAGTTGGCTAACATATCCCATTGAATGACAAAGGCCGTTGAACTTATTGTATATTAGAACTTATATTATTGTATATTAGAACTTATTGTATATTCATAGCATAAGTTGAGTGAACCACTTAGGATTGTTCGATTCAAGTTTCTTATAAGTTTGTAATGAATGTGTGTAGTAAGTTGCACAAGCTATGAATGAATTGAAAGTAAACTCAAAGCTTGACTATAATGAACACACACTCTATAACATGAACACGCAGCAAAAATATCGAGTTAGAGGATAAATATATCGAGTTAAAGGATAAAGTTAAAGGATAAATAAATTGCATCACATATTAATTTTGTTATGGCGTAGTTCTTCTTCGGCTTTCGTATTGGTTCCACCTGCAGGGCACCGAATTTGATATTCATTTACTATGTAAAATTTTCTAAACGTCTAATTTCTTTTCATCTTTTTTCTACAGGAGAGAGCCGTGAAGATGCTGAGTTCGCAATTCTATCCGGATGATGACTTCGATTTGGACGATGGCTTGGATTTTGGTCAATTTGAATACAACAATCAACCTTTCCAGCGACTGTCACACCATGACAGCAGACACCACACCGATAACTACCAAAGAAACGATGGGCATTTTGCCCGAGATCAACTGAACAGAGGAAGTTTCTACCACCAAGACAACACTTACGCAGCACAATATAATGAAAATATTGTGATGAAACCTCGTCCTGAGTACTATGATATTCCTTTTGAAACTAGAGACCGTTTTGATAACAGGAATTCTTACAGAGAAACAGACTGGTCCGCACATAGATTCCGTGAAAGTAGACCAGCGCAAAGCTCGGGGCTAATGGAGGGCAACTACAGAAAACCGCATAGCGACCATTTCAGGCGAGAACCCAAGAGGAGGTCCTGGCGTGACTCCGGCTTCGATGACTTCGAAACAAGGAGCTACAGACCTCCGACAGCAGCGACCTCTCGAAGTACTCACGGAAGATCAGGACGTAAACACGGAGTGCCCAAGAAAGAAAAACATCGAAGGTTTCCGTCTCCTGACGCCAAAACCCCGGTCATCCCTCTTCCAGATTACGACGGTGCGGATACCGGAGCGAACTATGTTCCAGAGCCGGACTACTAGAGTTGTAGTCGGAATCGCAGCCGTTGGCTTGTTGCAACAAGGCTTTCTACAAATACAAATAAATAATTCGTGTAATTGTGCCGTACAGCAGTATTAGTAATTGAAATGTTTAGCAGTTACGTTGTCTAAGTTTTTTTTTTCTAGGTGCAGCCGTGGCTACAGATTCATTACACCCTATTTGTAACGACTTTTCAATCCACAACCAATCAAATGTATATAGAATAAAAATAATGTGAGTGACGATGAAAATATAATGTCGTGCTTCATGTCCAAGTATCTTCCGCTTCGGCAATTTTACTGAAAGACGAAGAAATTGTTATTTTTTGTTTACTTCCAAGAACGAAACCGAGTGACATCATGACATGGAATATACAACGAAACGCGAAACGTTCTATTTTCATTAGTAGCATTATGACGAATTACACAAGCTGTTTTTTTAGGATACTTAAGGTAATAAATATAATTAACCTGTCGATTTATCTTTTATTTTTCATCGATGAAATTGAATTTTCTAGGCGATTATCAATAATTTTACAATTATTCCATAATTGTAATAGATCGCACTTCCCCAACTCATTTTTTCTAGAATAGTTTTCTAGCATAAATTTTGATGCCAGTGCAATGTAACAGGTGATGATAATATCCCTGCGACGATGCATAGTACATTAGTACATAATAAAGAATGTAACTCAGTACTCACTGCAGTGAGTGACAGAGAGCGCATTTTCTCGTCGACGAAAACGTGAAGTCACGGACGGACAGACAGACGGACGTGGCGAGCACAAAAGTGCATTTTTTCCATAAATGAGAAAATGCGCTAAAAACAGGAGTATTAATCGGTTAACCTGACCTAACACGGAAGTTTGTATTTGATTTATTTGTAACCCGCTTTTGAGCGTCGTTCCGATGTAACTAAGCCACTTGGAACAGACGTATTAGGCTAGCTGATTTCGACGGTTTCATATGAGTGATGCCCATGATCAAATGCATCGTAGCATAGATACCATACCAACGATTCAGATAACTGTTATCCGCGATACCAGGCTTGAAACAAACCACGGAAATACTCCAATTTTATGGAGCTGAAAGAATTATGTTGAATGGAAGTTAAACGTACCTATTCTACTGGCATACTAAATGAGAGAACCTGGAAACTGATAAATTTACGGTGTTATAAGCAGTGTTGAGAATTTGAAATTTTCGATCCTAAGTTCAAACAAGAAGCTAGACGCTTGATTATTCTTGAGGAGACAACATGACGTTAGACAACACACAATCATCAGTACAAGACAGTACAATTTTACAACACTTCTCTTTAACTTCCCTTCTTGTTGTTTGCTGGTTTGTTTCTTTCTTCGTCTGTTATAAATCTTATAATCGATATTTAACACACTTCTACCTCTCCAATCGAAATGAAATTTTGCACACTTTCATAAAGTCGGAGACAATGCGTGAATCAATTGACAGAATAAATAATATAAAAAATTTAATTGTTTCTAAAATATTTTTCAAAAACTTGCGAACTATTTTTTATATTTAAAAATAAAATAAGAAATTCATTGCAAGTCTTTAGAAAGTAATTTTTATAGGCATATTATTCGTCTATTTACTCGATTTTTTCGGAATTACTAGTCCTTTAACACAAGGTCATTAACTCACTCGGTTCGCTATATCACACGCCTTTATTGTGTAGCTAAGTTATACGGGAACCTCCAAGCTACGTCCTGCCTTAAAAATAGATTCTCTTATGCGTATTACATAAAGATTTAAATTTTACTCCAACTGTTACCCTTCTCAGCATTGCATAGCCTTTATTGTGAACACGTGCGAAATAGAAGAATCCGAAGAGCTAGCATAAAATATCTTCAGCACAAACTTTGCCACTAATCAAAAAATCCAACTACATAGGGACACGCACTTACTACATATCCCACACAATACTAATACGAACTTAGGCAGACAATTGTAATAAATACTCGACACAACCTCAAACTTCGTACAATTCCTCACGAGAATCGGCAATTGCATCAGGGCAAACACTAGAAACTTTGGCACAATTTCAACGCTATGGCACATCGTTTAATGCTATGGGGACATCGCTAGAACGTAGGACACGTGCTTGAAAAAATGGCGAGCGATCATAAAGCTCACAGAGCTGCTATTAAACACGATTATATACAAACAACGGTCAGCGATGAAATAATCTGACTATCAGATAGCACCATAAGCGAAAGAAAAATTTTGGAATACTAATTTGTAATGAATTTCATAAACTGAAAAAGGAAAAATTTACATATCAACTCCTATAATGAACGCTAGAAATGCCTCTCAAAAACGCATTAGTTTCGAGCAGTTCGATTCTAGAGAATAAAAACTTTATTGGCCACAACATTAGCTATTTGACAGATAATAAATAAATGAGAAAACGTCAAATCAAACCCGAAATTTCACAGAACTTGCACCCAAGAAAGCATCGTAGACATTTACAAAATATTTAAAAACAAACACTAAGCCATGAAATTTCTACATCACCATAAGACAACCAAAGAATGCAGGAAATCGTGTGGTAAAGAATTCACATCGATGAAAAAGATCCATCGTTGAATATGAGTAAATATTTCAGAAAAATTGTAAATGGCAATAAAAGAAATGCCCATAATTAGTCAGTTAGTTGGCACATGTTTACTTGCGCTTCAGCTATTTAGCTATCCCGCACCGAAAGTTCAGATGAACATCACCAAAGAGGTGAAAGGTCTCAATTATCGTAAGTTTCTCAAATCAAACATTGTTCATCACCCACAAAGGGTGGAAGGTCTCAATTGTCCAGCCCGCTGAAGCTGGCTCGAAGAAAGCAGCGTTAGCATCATAAAAATACGAAGTGACAAGGAGGGACAGGTGAAAAGCAACAGAAACGAAGACACTCGAATAAGAGGTCGCTTACACAAAACGTCGGCCACCTGCACGAGAGAGACAGAGAAGGGTGATGTAAGGAATCCTACCTACATAATAACTTAACCCCACAACTGAGGCGCTCAGGAACAATGCCCCTAGGAACGCGAAGTCCCAGAGGACTTCTGACGAGCACAGACACGCGACAGAAGCTCCCCTGGGGAGTTTCATCATTAAAGCATGTTTTCAGGAATTGAATGATGCAGAAAATGCTCATTGCGTATTGCAATTAATAATTAGTGTTCCTGATAATTCATTGGCATAGGTATCGCATTAAAATGATCATCTTTTTCCCAAAGAAATAAAATCGCAAAATGATCAGGCCAGATAAAGCATTTGTAGAATATTGTCATTTTGCATTCAACTTCAATTTTTGTACGTCGTTGTAATAACTAAATTGTATATGATGATCACGAGTCCCATAAATGAAATGGCTTTATACCAAGTGGAAACCATGGCGAAGATAGTCTCGGATCAATTTAATCATGTGAGATCGAGCTCAATTCAACTCGGATCATCGAAGCGAGCGTTGTTGCATCAAAGCATAAAAAGACAACGGGGAACTGAGTGCATGGGTAAACTGTTCGCAAGGATAATCGATCGCATGATTAGCCGAGTGTAAATGCAAATTGCGGTACAACAATACTTATTGTACTGCACAAATTATAGTCGTAACTGTATAGTTTAAATGAAGAGCAAGCTCACAGCAATGACAAATTAGTGTAATGAAGTGGGCAGCAACCTTTAAATGGAATATATACAATCGGAGCACACAAAATGAGCTGCAAGTATCGGCCAGTTAAGTAGAACAGAGAGCAGACGGACGTATGTAAGAGTTAGTGAAGACCATGAAGTAAGCAACAGCGGCAAGTTAAACTTAAAGTGAGCAAGATGAGGTAGCAGAAGACATGGAAGCAGATGATTCAGAAGACGGTGCAGGGCAAGAAGGCGATGAGCTGCTCAGTCCTACAAGACGGGAAGAATCGTGCTTGTCAATGGCCGCTGAGGGAGTGACCTGACATTCACTGTGCACTGAAGCAGTGGTTGGCAGCCCCATCGTACCAGCTTTATCGCGCGCATTGCGGGGACGAGAATATAAGTTTGATGCTACTCGGTTGTATTTCTCTGTAGCGTTGAGTTCCAAGCGTGGATTGTCTGAAGAACGTGATTCGGTTGTGTTGTCAGGAGACGTGTGGTTTGCTGGAAGCTCGCTCATCTCTGAGGATAGTGGCGGAAACTCCCCCATGTGAGATTTGTTCTGATTAGAAGCCATGGCGCTGCGGTTGTACGATGGATTGTATTCACCAGCAGGGCTGCGTGCTCTGCCTTGTCCAGGCAGTTGACTTGCTCTCACAACCAAAGCTTCGCTTAGGAGAGGAGTGTGGGCGCAGTCTGAACCTGTCCTCGCAAGTCTCTTTTTCTTAACTAACACTCTTTTTCTGCCTGGGGAAACTGAAAAGGTATGCCTGAGACCTGCTCGACGTGTTGGTAAAACATGCGCCTCAGTCTCTTCCGTGTTAAGAGAATGACATGGTACCGCTTCTCTAGAACCGGAAAAATTGTCCATGAACGAAGCCGTTGATCCAGACGAACTAGACACAAAATGAGCAGCTGAGGAGGATCCTTTGGTTGTTGGTACATTGACAGAGAAACTATTCGATGTGTTCGTGAAAAACGAATTATTTCCAGGAGAAGTCGTGGCAGAGGAATCCCACTTTTGAGGGACACTGGGTGCGGATACCGGGATGGAAAAGATGTATTCAGAGGCGCTAGCAGAGGTGGTGGGTGCTGTTCTCGAGCTGAATGTAAGAGGTCGAACAGATGCCACAGGACAGCGGCAGGGCAGGGCACTAGCAGGGATGCCGACCGACGTATGATTGACGTCAACATCCAGGCTATCACAGCGAGAGTAGTAGCGACCTCCAGAAATACTGAAGTATGGAGGTGGAGGGCCGCACACTGCTTCCTGTCAATGGTATTTCATATCATAAAAAACAATATTCTTCAGGAACACAGAGGATTATTATGATGGCTGAACATTATAAATTTATTATATATGTTTTTTTTTATGGAGTTACCGAAAGAGCTTCATATTAAAAAAATTCTCAATTTCTATTCAAGTTTAATGCTGTAAGAAGGAGTTGTAATTAAAACCCGAAGTCGTGAAGTGAGAAACGATAATGTTGCAACGCGTTAAAATGATACTAAGCCTCTCCTGTGGTATTGTAAAGCAATTGAAATAAGAACCTTTACCTTAAAGTTTAGTGGTAATTAAAATGATTACCTCATCTGTAACCATGCCAAAAATAACATTTGAAAACTAAAAATAGTGATATATTTCCTTTTTTTCATTTTTTCACCTGAGAAACTGAAACATTTTCAGTAATTGGTTTTAATTCCTTCACTGGTACAGTTTCAATATAATATATCTTAATAAAGAAAATTTAACAATATTTCTGATAATAAAACACTAATCCCGAAGGAGCTTCATTATTAAAATCCAATGCTACCGATGGTCAGTCGTTACAACGACAACTAACAGAAACTTCTCAGTAACTGGCCGCCACTCCATTTAAAGCTTTAGACTAATAGCTCCTGGTAATATTGACATTGTTGGTCGTAACATCACTTAAAACTGAAGTTAAAGTGAAGGATTTTATTGATGCGTAAGCTAGACTGAGTAAAGACAAGATGCGTACCCTAAATGAATTAGTAAATTAATGCGTAGATAAAAAAAAGGAACCGCAATAGACGTGCCTGATAAGAGGGCGGTGGGGCGGAGTGGGCCAGTGCGTTGCCAGCGCCCATGTTGTCATCACATCGCGACAGCCCCTGTACAGCGATATGTTTAGTCGGACACATCACGTGTTAACGTCAGGGATGAGATATGACGAAGAGAGTGTCACGAGAATGACAAGGTTCAGGAAAAATTATATAAAACAAATAAAGGACAGAAGACAAAATGATGGCGCAAAGAAGACAAAAAGGAGGCTAATGAAAACAAAGAGAAGGCGCCAGGAAGGCAGAAAGAACGAGTAAGAAAGTAAAAGAGAAGACACAAGGACGACATAGATAGTGCGTCATTAAGGCATAAAGAACGCGCAAGAACCTGTGGGAAGGCTGTGAACGCGACAGCGTGTCGGGCAGAGCAGCGCTCGTCAGCAGGGCCCCTAGACAAGCTCCCCCCAAACGACCACCAAGACCTTGACGCCGGCAACCCCACCGTGCTCATCATGTCACTGCAATGGTCGAATAACATTATTCTCATGAAAACACGCAACATAAATAAGTATAAATTAAGCCACTGCCCAACTCCTCCTCAATGTGTTAAATATCGATTATTATTATATATTAAAATCCTGAATAAATTCTCGTTTGAAAAAGGTTATTGACATCGCTGCAATAGTGGCATCTAAATCTCAGGATTACATACAATTGATGGTTGCCTCAACTTGTAGATTATGGGGTTGATTAAAGGGAAAGAAGACAATAAGTTTTATCAATAAAACAGGTAGAGTTGTCATTTCTAAATAGTAGAACATTAACCAGCTTCTTCTAATAACTCTCTCAAATCGTTGAAGCATGAAGCGAGCAACGACCAACATTTTCATAAGCAAACTAAAGTTACATGTATCGCTCAGCACACGTTAGAAAATACGTCACATCATCACCAGCACTGTACATTCTGTGCTTGTGAAGAGAATCATGCAGGAACGCAGGAATAAACTCCTACAGTTACCTATACCCTCACAACATTAACAAGCACCATGATCCACATACCATCACAATTGTAATGAACTAACTTACCATGGCAATTATAATGAACTAACTTGCCATGACAATTATAATGAACTAACTTGCCATGACAATTATAATGAACTAACTTGCCATGACAATTATAATGAACTAGAAATAAACATGAAGAATTCGTACCGGGAAGACTGCCGGCCCCAGGCGAGGGGAGTTAGCGACAAAGAGGAGGCAGAGTTTGGCCAGAAACGCCGCCGCAGCGTCAGCAGCAGGCACGCCGTGCAGATGTTCGCTAGCGCCACCAGCGTCCCTGTGGTTGATGGACTTTATTATCGTTATTTTTCTCATTGCGGACAGATTTTTCAAATTCAATTTTTGTAAATTTAAATTTATTTAAATTTGAGTTTTTAATTCAGTTGTGTTTAATATAGTTACTTTTAAAAAATGAAAATTTTCCGTGTAAAGCGGCAAGTTGGCTTTTAGCTTCATAACTACGTGCCTACGGTATATATAAAAAAACTGAGGGAACCATGAAAAAAATAATGCAGATAAGCAATCTGTCGTCAATGAAAGCGAGAATAGATGGGGAAGAAAGAAATTGATTATCAACCTGTTAGTGATTAGGTCACAGGAATATTTTTTGTAAAACAATATGCATAATCTATGACCTGCCAATGAGTGTTAAGATATAAATTTGAAACAACGGCTGATGGGACATCATGTATGGTCTAGTCATGTTGTACCTATATAACTAAGATCAATGCCAGGACACCTTCGTGCTAGTTCAGACGCAATAAATTTAAACCGGTGACATCAAGTGGTGCGGTCAGTGAGCTGAGGAAAGTTCTGCAGTAACATCCTCACCAATAAGCAGAGGCGACGGATCCGAGAAAATGCTCTCACGGGTGTGAGGGCGAGGACGCGTTGAGAGGTAGAACAGATCTTGGTCGAGAGCAGCTGAGAGGGAATAACGATTTATAATTATAAATTATAAAAAGATTATTAATTTGTTGCTTAAACTTGTAGTGTGACTCGTAGAAAACATCATGTTGGTCCACATAAATATAACAAATGAAGAAATAATGTAAATATGAGCTGACGGCAGCAGTGGATGGTCAGCATAATATCTCACCAGGATGTATGAGCTGACGGCAGCAGTGGATGGTCAGCATAATATCTCACCGGGATGTATGAGCTGACGGCAGCAGTGGATGGAAGGGTTCACGGAGCAGTTAAGAGGCTTGGTAACAGAAGAAGCAGGGCCACGGCAGCAACGAGATGGGTCCATACAACGGCCATCGTTGCATCGCAATTTATTGCGACAAACATCCCCCAAGCCTGGAATATAATAATGTTATCAACCAGTTTCTGGCATAAACTAAATCACAAAAATTAGATCAGTACTCAGTGCAGTGGAAAAAGGCTCCGACTACGGCTTAAATTTTTAATAAGCAAAAGCTCAACATATGGAGTAGGTAATCAATAACTTGTAACACTACTGACCACAGTGCTCTGCAAGCTCGTCTGTGCCCTGTGGACAATCTGGCTTGGCATCACACACAAATCGCAGCAGAATGCACTCGCCCGTGCTGCACTGGAACGATGACAAGCCACATCGCTGTACCACATCTCCTGCAATAATTATGTGCGTGAGAATCGTACTATAAAAACTGGCTTAAATATATACCTACCTACATGTGTCTCTGATTTTTTTATTAAGCTGGAAAAGCTGTCAATGATGTATACAGCCTCAGGTTTCTATCCAATTTTGAGAAATTTTTCAATTTCACTAACCAAATACCAGGTGATCATGAATAAAGTAGATAATATTGACAGTAGGTAATATTGAACATGTATTATGCATAGATGTTAAGAATGCTAAGAATGCGGCGCCGTTGTGTCGAGACCGTGGGAAAGGTTGTTTACATTGAAACGTTGGCGCTCAGCGTTGCGAGGGAAATTCCATTCGAAGGAATGTAGCGTCTACCGAGGGCTAGGCTTAAGTGTGCGCGACTCTAGCGAATATAAGGACCTCAGATTTCGCGCCAAGGGCTGTTGGTTCTACGGCGGAAACCGTCACGCACGTACGGTCTGCGGACGTAACTGCTGCGGCCGTGAGGCCGCGGTGTTACCGTTTCGAACATTGACGGTCGCGACTTGCGAGAAACTTGGACTCACCGAGGCAGTTACGATTCCTGTGAGCGCGTCAAACATATACAATGGACGGCTACGACTTCAATATATTATACGGTCAACATCATCACTACGGCTGCGACTTAGCCGTGATGACAACGCGGGCAGCCACGAGATGTACAACGATAATAACGCACGTCATCAGAAGATCCAAGTTTCGAGCTCTACACCAAGAATCATCAGTACGATACGGTCACGATTTCCATCAAGAAGAAGCGGTACGATTGTATTCATCTTCAACCGCCGAAGCACCGCATTGAGCTGAAGTAACATCATCGACAATGAAGACTACGCTACTATTCTGAAGTATGGTCATCATCAACTCTACGGCCAGACTGACCGTGAGACATCTATATCAACGAGATACGACAGCTATGGAGATAGAGCAACTGTGAAGAGAGACGCTTGCGGTACAGCTACAGTACGGCCACTTGAAATACGGCTGCGATGCGCGGGGACAGCCGCGGTACGGTCGCGGAACGTACAGCCGTAAAAATGTGCGCAAGTTACAGTCGTTTACAACAGTCGTACGGCTCAATGGAACTGCAACGGTTCACACGCTTTTTCCGGTAATATTAGATGATTTAATGATGTTAGCTTTGGACTTTTGATTGTGATCAGATCACCTTTTTCATGTACTAGAGATTTTTGTTAACGTAGGATGCGAACTTGAATTTCTCAATTTAATATGAAATGTATCAGTGTTTCATTAAAACCCTCTCTTTGCACTATATTTTGCCGGAACCTGTCCAAAAAGAGAACCGTATATCATCGTGCCACTCAAGCCCACTCGGCAACCACCTGGCAAAACGATAAGTAACGAATACCGGTATCTTGAACCTGAACCTGAACGTAACGTAAAATTGGTGGAGTAATCAATCCGATTCACCCAACTTTAATATATATGAGAAGCTAAGTAACGTCTCTTTTATTATATTTTTTTCCTATTTAATCAATCATTACAAGACCTCACTTTATATTGCACATATAGTATTGATAATTAATTGTGCCTCACTGAATCACAGACGAATACAAATAATAGCACAAGTGAGCAACCTAATCCTTATTGCGCATCAGTGAGCAACCTCCTCGATTAATACCTCATACCTAAATTAGTACAATAAAATACCATGCAATGAAATTCTGCACTGTTTAAAAAGAAACAAACAATAATGTAAAAAAATACTATTAAATTAAAACAAAAAAAAAAACAGTTCAGGCAACAGGAAAATTATGGGTTTATGGTGACATCGACTCACTGTGCAGAACCTGGAGCTGCACCACAGCAGAGCGCTGCAGCTGCGGCACTTCACAAGTGTAGTTGCCAGCATCAGCCTCCTGCAGCCGATGCACCAGCACACGCTTGCTTACAGCTCCCACCAGCTCTCCACTACCTAACTGTTCCTCACTCACGCGAGACACGCTGCACATCGAGGGCTCATCTATAGTTGCTATACTTAACATTAATATAAATACTGTTCAGTATGTTTATCAGCGAATCATTGGTTAGTTGCACACATTACACAGATGGACAAATAAATTGCTTGTATAATTCAAGACCATCAAATACAGTTGTTATAGGGATTATTGGTTATAATCACATCTATACCAAAAAATTTATCTACAAATTAGAAATTAAATTAATATGTAATGTACAGCAAATTAATTTTTTATGTACAGCAAATTAAAATTAAGCAAATTTAAATTAAGCAAATTAAAATTAAGCAAATTAAAAATTTGCTGTACATAAAAAATTAAAAGCTGCTAATGTCAACTGGATCCCGTGTCAACAATCTAAAACAAAACTTATGGCCCTTCAATAACTTGAAATTTGAGATTTCAAAATAACAGACAATAAACTTGATGAAGAAAACTTGTAAACACAGTAAATATTCGTGCAAAGGATTACAATGCAATACACATGGTGAATGGCCATGAAGCTCTTGTAGAGGAATTCCTTTAAAACCAACAATCCATACCAGCATGGTAAGATGGTAATAAATTACTAGGGTTAATTTTTCAACAAATTGTCAGATAACATGGAGAATTATTGGATACTCACTGGTTAGCAAGTCATATATAGAAACAAAATTTAAATAAAACCTACAAATTGACAGAACATAGGTCCATTACCAACATATTCACAAAATTTATCAATAAAATTATAAAAATTAACCTATTTTGGGAAAAATAGTGTTGATATAAGACCAGCATGAAATTTTGGGCCCCATTATGATACACGGATTCTCAGTTCAACAAAACCTTCAATTGAACGTACCATATATGCATTCAGATTATTAAAATAAATATCATTAAAAATGATATTCCATTACGGTACTACAGATCAAAATCCAGCTAATGCTATGAATCTTGGAGATAAAAAAATAGATTAACATGATTAATAAATGCATTGCTATTAGACAACTCACTCATTGATGGGGATAATCCATTGCAAGGAAGGTGTGTTCTCTTCCCAGTGAAGTCTCTGTGGCATGGCCAATCCTTTCTGATTCTTCTGTGGACAAAAAATCCAATTTTAGTTTACAGTGATAATGTAGTGAAGAAAATTAGATTGTACCAATTCAAAATTGGGTAGGTATGGTTTCACCCAATACTGTATAGGTACTGGGTTAGCTGTACCCCTTTAGCTGGAATGTGCAGAAAGAGCTAGAAATGTAATGAAGGTATATACAATTGGGTTCATAACACAAACACAATTACCGTTATCTATCATAAAAGAAGTCATAACTACATCAGTTCTGCATGATAAAGAATCCCACACAGGTTTGCACAACATTCACAAACATTTGCAACTAACTACCAGAATAAAAAAGGGCTCAGAAAAGAAGGGAATCCAAACTTCATTTCATTTAATTTCCAGATAGAGTACAATCATAAATTTCAATATCAATTTAAACAAAAAGTGAAATAAAATAAAAAAAAATTTTGGTTCATATGAGAAAATTATATGAAAATATAAATGGTACACAGTAAAACTTTTCCCAAACCAATGATATATTTAACTCATACATTCCAGTTTTACTCATACATCCACCTGTAATGTAAAGAATAAATATTAATACAAGAAGTTGGAGGTAGTAAAGCATATAATCATAAGGCTACTGAACACTATAAGCTTTCAAAACTAACTATCATGGTCTGGTGCATTGCAGCCCGCCTCATGATGTCTTGCATGGCGTCATCCGTAGACTGTGAATCATTTGATGTGTTGTTGAGAGGAGCGGGTGCAAGGGGCAGTAATGTACATGTGAGCGTCAGTGTCTCACCTACACCACGCACCACAGGCTGCTCCGATGGTGTCACCATTAGCTTCATTTCAGGGATTACCTCCACTTCAGCTTCAACTGAAGAATCTGGAATAATGACATTTTTGATTCACAAAACTGAAATCAATAGAATGGGAATCCCAAGATAGTAAAGATTGGATTGTTAGAACCATATTTACAAAATTACAAGGTACATATTTTTAGACCAATGGAATTAAAAATAAGTAAAGGCAGCTTAATACTCACCAGAATGCACATACTGTTTTTCAGTGAAGAAACCTAATACAAGCAAGAGGAACAGCAGTGAAGTCATGATTTAAGAAGCAATTTTATGGTTTATGACCTAAATTTGAATATGTTGGGACATTAATGATATGTTTTTGACAAAATTCAAGTCCATTTTAATATAAAAGAAAGGCTTTTAAATTGCTTTAGATAATCTAAAACAAGATAGTTATTAATGGTAAAAATATGATAAAATAAAAATTTAAAAACAAAGAAAAAAATGGTAGTATAACAAAATGATTAGGTATATTTTAAGACTTGTTAGTGTATTAGACACAGAAATAATTAGAATCCTGGTGCCTTCAGCCTCAAGCAAATCAAAGCTTAATTCAAAATTTTAAAAATTATCAAGATCTAGGGACCTAGGGTTGAATATATAGGTATATGATGTATATCATAGCCTATTCAGTATTCACTATCTGAGCCATGAGCCCATGACTATAGCTTTTCCACCATTTTTATACCTATAGTATAGGAATTAGGATTCCTGCTTATATAGGGTAAACGCGGTATATTCCGACACATTAAGGATGCATCGAGAAATGAAAAACTATAAAAAAAAACCGTATGCGTTACGTAAGTTCTGTTGCCTTCACATGACTCTCAAAACACTTCACTACGCGTCAGCAACGATGAAACGTCACAAAATGTTGCCATATTTATTAAAAAGCCTTTAGAATGGAAACCTACCAAATCCCTATATTCCGTCACTTTGTGTGGCAACATCCGACACGTGGTGAGTCGTATTGCGTCAGCGCTTCAAATTTAACTGATACGTATTGCCGACATCCACGTGTTCGAATTCCGTTTGCTGTGTGAGCTGTATTGGGATACAACACGGCTTTGAATTAGAACACTAACGAATATTGAACACTACTTAATTACGTTTTAATTAACAGCTATTAGGCTTTTAATTAAGCAAATTTCAATTTTTGTACAAAGCTTTGAACGATCTGTGTGTGTCCAATTCAAGTTGTGTCGGAATTAGTTTTCATGTGTCGAAATCCAACATCTCAACTTAATCATCTATTAATTTATTTACGACTTGAAATCAGCGAATACAAGTATACTTAAAGGATTCCTAATATATTCACAGACGTATTTAAAAGTCTCAAACCATAATATTCTTCCTATAAAAACAGTTATTCACTATTTGGTAGAGCAAGGTCAACTGTCAAATTTGACACATTTTTCGATGATCTCACCAGGTGGCATGCATTGTCTCTCTTTGGATCTCAATATTTTCCCACTAGATGGCCAAGACCTAGTGTTTTTGCAGTATTTTGACACGCAAATGTATGACGTCACCAACATTTCAACCATCAATGAACGCATGGAACTAAAACAAAGCTTAATATAAAGGAAAAACTAGAGAAGTGATGGAATTACCTACGCTGTCGGAATATACCGCGTTTACCCTACAACCAAACTGGAAAATTACACAGAAGCCACCTTCACCTATGATTATGAATGAGACAAAATAGCTAGCCTAGTACTACCTACATCCTACATGAACATGTGTTCATCTTGTGATTAAGTTTCCCCATTTAGTTCTGTAGTCTGTACCTACTAGCCCTTGATTAATTTTCTTAATCATAGGGAAAAAAAGTAAGAACTTTGAAATGCAATTCTGAACAAAAAAAAATGACTATAGGCCTAGCTAAATATTTGACCTGTAAATTTTTGAGAATTCTGCCTAATTTTCCAAATTAGATGATTAACCCTGCCTATGGGCAGCTATTCCTACCTAGCCAGGCTAGCCTAGCCTCATACTCAGTCTCAAGTCTCTAATGCTTTTGAATTACCTAGAATAGGCTAGGCTGGCTAGCTAAATCATCATGTATTAACTATCCAATAAATAGCCCAAACCCCGAAATTCATGGTGACAACTGACAAAGAATATTTTGTTGAACTTGAAAAATGAATGGCAGTGATCATAGCCTCATAGGTAGCAAGGTAGGTAGGTAGGAGTAGGACCGTTCATTAGTCATTATAGTCAAGTCAAATTTAGATCTGACTCTGACTCTGAGTACCATAGATTTCATCATCTTAGCTATCTTGAAAGTCTCTTCAGTCTTCACTCTCTTGGTTGCCACTTTTTCTATAGTTCACCAATATGATTCATTTTAAATCGCATTCACGCAAGAAAATCTCTAAAATTTCCTACTTTCTAGCAACATTAAATAAAAATAATTCGATTAAACAATAATAAACCCTAGGCCCAAGTTTTGCAATTAGGGCGAAGTTGGCACTTGGCAGGATCATCAGCTTCTTCTTTTCGGGGTGTCTACACTGGGACTGGGTAGACTTAAAGTTAAAGCCACAGGTCGAACTCGAGGTCGAGGACGGCCGTTGGGCCTGAGAAGGATCATCAGCTCCTAGCCCCTCACAATGACAATTGTTTTTTATAGTTGGTGTTAAGCCTTGTGGCGAGTGGCGACAAATGCGCCCACCAGCCTGTTCTCTGTCAGAATCACAATGACAATGACACAAACACGGAAGACGCCAAGACGGGACCTTCTTCGCCAAGATGTTGAGTGCTGCTTTTAGGCGACTGAAGTTACTAACTAGTAATATAACTGTAAGGCGCATCATCGACTGAATTGTTTGAGCCGTACAGGTACGCTCGAAAATAATATTCTTACTGTGTCGCTGCAAAAGGTAATTGTTTCACTCTTTGGCGGCTGTCATTGGGGCTGCGTTACGTACCTAAAAAAACTGGAATCATTCCAAATCGCTAAACGTATTAAACTAACTTACTAACGTCTCGTTCCCGAGTCCGGCCGTAAAATTGTCCGAGACGTTTCCGCTAAAGGAAATGTGCTCGCTCACGGGGACAAATTTTGAACAGGCTACCACAGCTACTGCTACGGTAGCCACCCGTTTGTATAAATTTTATTACAGTTCAACTCCAGAAGATAAATAATAGCTCCCATATTTTTCCAAACTGTCAGTCCAGTGTGTCGTTGAAAGCTGTAGAAATGCAAATGAGGTGGCATTTTTGTATCTTTTGTATCTCGTATTAATATTTCGCATTTCGGCAGTTAAAACGGTCAATACTCAATATTGCTGCCAGGGTGGCCCAGTGGTTAAAGTTCAGCTGAGTACCAAGATTGGAGCAGAGAGGTGCGGGTTCGATCCCCGCTCTGTGCGATAGTTTCTGGCCAGAATCGGCAAGGAGGCCGGGCGGTTTAGCAAAGCTAAATTGTAGCAGTGAGTTGGGAGTTTGAGACCGCAAAATGCTGTGAATGTTCTGCCATATTAAGAATCGGCGACAGACCTACGTCCTAATAAAATCTGAATCCGCTATTATTATATTATCATTACATCGGACCATCAGGGACCTGCCTCATGGTTGAATTAATGTATTAATTCAACCATGGACCTACCTAATCGACACTTTTCCGAACTCGCCTGCGGACTCAAACGCACAACTTAACTTTATGTAGACTGTAGAGGAACCCCGATGGGCGAATTATCTTAAATAATATTCATAAGATTTGGTAAACGTTAGTTCGAAAAATCTCCATGTAACGAATTTCGCCTTCATACGAACCAATTTCGATCGTGCAACTTATTTCCCATTTCTGGTGCATATTCCAGCCATTTATATATTCTTGTGCTTTTCGTTAGTATGCATATCTTAATTTGAAATGTTTCGGAAATTCTATTCCGCGTCTTCTTTGCTTTTTAATTCTTGTTTACCTTGCAATTTAAGCAGGCTAATAATGATAGAAGAACTCCTGACTATTTTATCACACCAAACAAACAGTCTTGCGTTGTAAGCATTGTTTCAATTTTATTCTTGTTCCTTGTTTATAGGAAGCATTTGCCTCAAATATTTTACCATACGAATTTTTTTATGCCGAATCTGGGATTGGAACGAACAAAGCTCCTACGTCAATATGTGTGGTACAAATGCAAATTAAATGTTACATCACAGCGAAAAATAACATAATTTCAATTTGTTATTGTTAGGCACATCTATGCACAAGTGGAATTATTGTCAGAAAATAAGAATGTTTTCTCCCTTTAAAACACGGCATCGCGTGACTAATACAAATATTCAAATGTTCACCAAATCGAAGAAGAGTATATCGTCCAAATTCGATAACATTCGAAATTCGCTGTAATTTTGCGCTCGAGCATAACGGTTTACAGACGGAAGTGTTTCGAAAATATTAGGATTATTGCTAAATTTCGAATAATCAGTGTAATTTCATCAATATTTATCCATAAGATAATATTCAGTCCAAGTAAATTATTGGTAAATAAATGTGCCCAAGTATCGACGAGTCAACAGGTATTCTACAATATCTTCGATTGCGTTATTCTCCACAAAATTGGTGGAGTGCGAGCCAACCGTGAAGCAAAGGGTTCGTCCACGTAGAGCATGATGCACGTCACCACCCTTTTCTATACAATGTTTTTAAGACCATTTTAGGCTATGTAACTCATATCATATTCCAATAACACCGTAATAAAGATTAGATGAATCAATGTGTAAGGACTATTTCTAACAAAATAGCGGGTTTTCCATAATGTAGTGTCAAGACCGAAGGTTACCTCGAAGGTGGTAGTGTGTGCGACGGGTTAGTTAGCCTCCTGCCTATTCAGATGCGTGTCCCGTATGCCAATTATAACCTATTATTCAACTGTGCTGTAAATAAACTGTATTTGAATAAATGCTCGTGGGAACAAGTTTTCATTAATACTCCGACGAAAACTCTTTATAGACTGACTTGGTGAAGAACCCGATCAAGTTATTACACAATGCATTTAAAAATTAGAGATTACACCAGACTCAGAGAATGCATCAGAGTGTACCAGTTCTTGCTTTAGCATTAACTTCTTATTTCATGGACAGATCAAACTACAGCATAGCGACATCACCTATCTTTAGGCATTACTGTCTTCACACATTCACAGCTGCCGCGTGTCCAGCCAGTTACACCCCTCGTGTCTGTTGTCGGGATAAAACTTCGGTTACCTGGCTAGACTCGCATTATTAGCTACAATTAGCTACCAGTATACAGACCAAATGTGCAAGTTTTCAATAGGTCCAGAAAAAACTAGGGTCCACTAATAATAATATAATGATAATAAAAGCAGCTTCAGCGTTTATAATGCCGTAGCCCGTAGACCTGTCGCCGATTTTTAACATAGCAGAAGTTCATTTCCAGCTTCTTGCTGTTTCGAACTCCCAACTCACTGCTTCAATTTTCCTTTGCCTAACTGCCCGGCCTCCTTACCGATTCTGACCAGAAGCTGTTGCACTGAGATGGGAACGAACTCGCACCTCGTACACAAACATTGTACTCTGAACTGTAACTACTGGCCACTCTGCCTCTCCACATCAAAGTTGAATTCATGAAAATTCCATATTTAGGTATCTCAAGCGTTGAAAAAAAAATCGTTTCCAAATTTCATTGATTCGTGGTCAAATGAATGAACGGGGAATCACCCACCGGCATCCTCCGAAATTTTCTATTTTGCCTACATACAGTACAGGTAGGACACGATGAATAATTTATCTTTAATTTTGTTTATTTATAATAAGTATCATCTTCATTAACATTTTCAATTGCTATCTGCGTAATTATTATTATTATTCTACTAAGTTATTATCGTGCTGTCTGACTCAAACGAACTTTGAAGGTTCAAAAAGAGTAACGATTATACTTTGGAAATGAAAACCCGGATCGAAACCGCTATTAGGCCAACTTTTAGGAACACCCGGCATCATCAAGCCGAAACTTGGACAGAAAATGACAGATATCGTTTTCATGTTTCATAATCAAACTTGAACGTTAAGAACGATAACGACAGTTACGGTACTACAGCTTCAAACACAAGGAGTGTATTGATAGGTACGTTACTCTTGTGTACTTCTTGTCTAGGCTATAAAATTCTGTGATTAACCGTTGTGCGTTGAAGAGCCTTAGGAAGTTAGGCTTAGCCGTAGCTTACCCCAAAATCCCCAAATCCAATATACAATTGAAAATTTGAAGGTAGAGGCGTAGAGCCACTGTAAAACGTAAGTCTAAGTGTAAATGAAATACACGAGATGATCATGATGAGCAATTTGAGCATCAAAACCTATGTCTTCATAAGATCTTTCAAACAAATTTCCCTAAGTATACCTCTTAGTCTTAGGCTTTTTACATGAATAGGCTAGGGCCGATGTGGCTACTGGCTAGAAATCAGGAAAGTTTGATGACTGATGAGTTGATGACAAATTAACCAAAAGCTGAAATTTTTTGACTCCTTTGTCAGACATCAGTTTGTGACTTATTTGCAATAATTGTAGAATTGTATACCTAGTGACCCCATTGTAATTTGTACACAGTACACTTTCTGTGCTAATTACCTAGATGTGAATTGTGATCACGTGAAATTATTTTTCTGATGGTAATCCTAAAATGGCATAAAATACAAGAAAATATATTCTAAAATTCTATTCATTACAGATGTCAGACTACAGTTTTCAGAGTTCAGACATTAATAAATTAAATTTTTAGACGAGTACCTAAAAAATATTTTTTATTAGATGATTATTGTAATTGTAATAGCTATTTTAGTTAAAGTTATCAAAGTAGCCTAATTTATTAATATTAGGTATTTTAAATTTTATAATTAGGTACTAAAATTTGGTATTACTTTAGAATTTAGATTAAGTCACCCAAAAAAGGGTGTTTTTTTTAATTATATGTTTTTTGGTGTGTAGATTAAATCTGAAATCCATTTTTGGCGGTTGGCATCGGAAATTTTTAATGGAAGGCTTTTGGAAGCTGTTCCTAACTCATAGTGGCAAAGCAGAGAGTTTTTTTAAAATCTCCCTCAAGTTCATCTTTGAGTCCTATAAGTAGACAAGCAAAGCATCATGGATACCAGGCTATAACCAGCATTATCATACATAAGAAATTGGTTTAAATCTTGAGTAAATGAGGAAATTAAGAATGAACTGATTCTAAAAAATCTCTGCTTTGTCACTATGTCCTAACTGGACATTACCTGCAAAGTTTTCGATGATCGGCTAGGTTTTTCTATGTTTGGAGTCCGTCCGGCATAGTGACAAACCAGAGATTTTTTAGAATCAGTTCATTTTTAATTTCCTCATTTACTCAAGACTTGAACCAATTTCTTATGTAAGATAATGCTGGTATCCATGATACTTTACTAGTCTACTTATAGGACTCAAAAATGAACTTGAGGAAGAGTCTAAAAAACTCTCTGCTTTGCCACTATGCCGTCCGGCGGCAGGAAAAACCTAGCCAATAGGTTTTTTCTATGTTTGGAGTCCGTCTGGCAGCCGGAAAAACCTAGCCAATCAATGAAAACCTTGCAGGTTAGGTCCAGTTAGGCACAGGTTCCATTAAAAATTTTCAATGCCGACCGCCAAAAACGGATTTGTCGGATTTCAGATTCTTAATCTATGTCAGGATGTGATTTGGTCTGACTGGCCTGATAATATTATATCAATGTTCAGTATTGATTATTAACCGGATGATCTTAGGTTTTGAGTTGAGGGTTTATCTAGGGTCCGAATAAGTGGCAGGTTGATTGAGAGGCAAGTTTCTTAGTTATATGTTTACGAACTAGATAAGAATACAAGGAAGCTTGGTGGTTAGTACACAAGGTAGGTTTTAGCTGGTTACTCTAACGATGGAGGCTACTCGACGCCGGAGTCTGGCGTGGTCCTGCAGACTACATGATGATGGCTTACTACGTCTTGCCTGTGACTGAATAAGACTCTGAGGGCCGCTCGGGGAGCTTATATAGGCATACTATAGTGACGTCACCGAAGTAATGCAGTAACTGCTAGCACAAGTAAGGGAGTTACGGTAGACAGCCTGACATCTACACCCCAAAAAACATATTAAAAACACCCTTTTTTTGGATGCACTTTATCTAAAGTATTACCGTCAACCGGGGCTACTCGGGACAAGCGGGGCTACTCGGGACAGGCCTCCGACACGTCGTAAAACTGTTGTAGTAGCGAAACTAATTGGAATATTGCAAAACTAAAAATAGTGGCGTAAACGTCAACGTTTTTTCTATCTATGTAGTATAAAGGAAGTCGAAAAATACTACATTTACTTGCTTTGAAAAATTCCTGAAAAAAATGGTGAAAAACTATATTTTGTAAAGTTACAACTGCTAAGGTATGTAGCAAAAAAAATATTCGCCGTATTAAAAAATTTTACTTACATAAAAGTTGCACCCAGGTGTCGGCTTGAAAACGTATTTGACAGAATTTGCCTATCTCATTCCAAAAAGAAATGGCAGCCATTTCCGCACGGCGGGGCTACTCGGGACACCCCCCCGGGGCTATTAGGGACACGCATTTATGGTACCCAAAAACGCATTTACGGTAGAACCTCAGTTAGCAAAGGCTCCAGTTAAGAACAAATTGATTAAAAACAAAGAATATTGATTACATTTACCTGGCTGAGCGAAAAAAGTTCACTTATCCTCACACAAATTACAAGCTGTCCTGTGTGCTTACAGATACAGAAAAAATGCTATAAGGCTGCCAATATGAAGCTTGCAGTGAACAAGGTTGTTGTAAATGCTCAATGGCATGTTCATGGATACCATAATATCACATCAATAATACAGTAATATCCCATCAATAATAGGGTACTGTCAACTGGGGGATTCAGCTGTGTTCATAATGATGGCCAAAGTGGTCATAAAGGGTCATAAACAATGGCCAAAGTCACTTCGGCGTTTATGACCTGGTTTACAACCCTGGCGTTTATGACCCTGGCGTTTACAACCCTGCATTTACGACCCCAGCATGAATCAAAAACGAGGCTGAAGTCACCCCAGTTGACGGTAATTAATGTTTATGGTAATATCATATCAATAAAAGAAAAACAAGTAAAAATCACAGAAAATGTCATTTATTCTGCCTCTACATCATCCACAATGAAAGAGGAGGACTTCAGAGTACTGTTAGTAATGGATGAGTATGCTCTGCATGCTTCAAATGTTTTGAAATGAAGTTTTATTCCCATTGTCCCGAGTAGCCCTGACCGACGGGCTAATCAACAGGCTAATCATGACAATCTTTATTTTGCGTCTGGCACCTTGGTAATAGCATATGGAATTTTTTTTACAATGCCATTCGATAGCCTTGGCAAAGAGCTATAAAATGAGCTTAAATTTGTTTATGAAATGTTTCATCGTAAGAAGTTATTAACAGTTGTTAACAAAAAAACGATCAAATCTGTCCCCAGTAGCCCCGGTTGACACAACCGGTACCTAAAATTTTGTTATTAGTAGCTAGGAGAATAGAAAACTTTCTGCTACAATGTATATTGATATGTAACAGCAAAGCATATATTTATACTCATTGCTGTGAATTTAAAGTTATTATAAATTTAGTTTCTATTATATCTTCCATACTGTTTTTGATGAGCCTTATTAATAATATTATTAAAAAATCCAACTGATACTCAATATTTTGATAGGCAAAATAATTGGTTACCATTTCTTTTCATCTATCAAAATAATCAGAGCAGTTGCATCAGGATAAATGTGTTAGAGACTTTAGTGGTACTTCAATTTCAATCTATTTCATCCCTCTGCTGCTCAGTTATAGGCTTGGCACAAATCACAAATGATATTGAGTACATCTAGGCATCTTATATGAAAAAATTTTGATGTAATTTTTTCCACAGAGGCACAGGCACCATCACTCATTGCTATCAGAAATTGAAGAATGGATGAATCTGAAGAACAACCTCCTCTCAAGCGTCCATGCTTGGAATTTCAAAGAACTGACAATGTGGATATTGCTGAAGAAATCAAGATACCTTGTAGTCCTGGGATGTCTGCTACCATCTCCCTTCCCACTACATTTCCAAATTTATCGTCAACACAGATCAAGAACACTGCTGCTGCTGCATCATCTCTTGGCATTACATCTGCTACCTCTCCTCACTCCTCATCCTCTGCTCCCATCCCTGCTACATCCATTGTCTTGGTTTCTACTGTGTCTTCAGCATTGATTCCTGCTACATCTTCTGCTTCTACTACAAACTCATCTCTTGCCTCTCTTACTGCCATTACAGATACCAAAGTTCAGCATCCTCCCACCTCTGCTGCTTCTCCCCAGACTGAAGAACCCAAGTTGCCTAGCATTGCTCCTAAGAATGACACAGTGCTGATTGAATCTTCTATTGATCTGCCAATAAGTGTGCATCCACCTTCTGTCACTGAATCATTATGTACTATCAAAACATCTCTGTTAAGCAATCCTCAAGCCCAGCTTCCTGAAACTACACCAAATTCTGCAGATACTATTAAGTCAAGCAGTTTACCTCCACCTTCTGATAAATCTGAAGTGGTTGCTGATCTAGCCAAACAAACCACTATGTTGTCTGATGATTTACCATCAAAACCACCTGCTAGTGATTTGAAACCAAGAGATTCTATTTTGTCCCTCAGTGAAGCTGCCACTGTACAAACTACTCCACTTGATGGTCCAAGTATGGTCAAAGCAAACGTTCTTGGAGAAGAAACTAAGGTCACTCTTTTTAGCTCTGATGGGCCTGCTGAGGCTGGTAAATTTCCTATATCTGAGGTCAAGAGCCATTCAGTCAGGCCTTCTACATCAGTATCTTCTACTGATGCTCTAATCTTGGCATCTTGCACTTCATCTTTAGTTCTAAATTCAATGCAAGTATCAGCATCAGCAACAGCTGTTATCACTTCAACAGCTGTTATCACTTCAACAGCTTCCTCTAAAGTATCAGATTGTGAAGCAATTGAAAAAATTCTTCCAGTCTCATCTTCATCCTCAGTTTCCATTTTAGAAAAAACTTCTGTTGTACCGGTATCATCTGACTCAAATGAAATCCCAGATTTGGCATTAAAAATCACATCAGTGCCAACAAAGACTTTGACAATGCCTTCATCTTCTACAAAAATGCCTTCTAAGTCTGATCTCATACAGCCATCTTTAGATTCTGATTTTGCTTCTGCTGCAAATTCCCTCTGTGTAGATTTACCCTGTGTTAAAGTTCAAGAATCATCCCAAATCTCGTCAACAGCATCACTTTTGACTCAACATGACTCGTCAAATTTGAGATTTTCTTCACATCCACCCTCTTTGGTTTCATCAACTGATAAAAATCCAAAGGAAAAAGATCCTGATGTTTCTGGCTCCCATGCAATCATCCAGGAGGAAGCTAATTCAACAAATTCCAAAATTTTAATTCCTCTTGATTCATCAACTGGAGAAAAGCCAAGCTGTACTGCCTCTTCTCCTGTCATCACATCTGTCAATTCAACAGTTTCAATTGAACTAGCAACCTTTTCAAAATCCAACAAAGCATCTGATATTCCAAATAAAGTCTCTAAAAGTATTACCAAACTGCAGCATGTAGATGAAAAAGCTCAAGAAAGACCTAATAAACTGGAATGTAATATAGCCAAGAGAGTTGACCCCTCTGATGATATTCAGTGTGATTTAAAAGTGCAGGACAATGCAGAATCTCATCTGTTGATTTCTGAGAGCATTCTATCCACTGAAGGTACTATATCCAGTAATTGTTCAAATGGGAATGTTGAACATTTGAAGCCTAATGAAAATTCAATTGATTCTAGTGAGAGAGTTAACACTGAGGATATCACTGTAGAGAAGTTAGATGAAACAACTTTCATTAATAAATCTGCTGAGGGTAGTGATATTCTCAAGTCAATTATATCAGTATTTGGCATAACAGCTTCTGAAAATTTATCAGATGAGACTATAATGGGGACTGATACAGTCACATCAAATGAGAGTACAAGTGGTGAATCATCTAAAAGACTTGGAACTGCCACAGATCCTTCTGAGAGCCTTGTTGATTCAGCAGTTCCCAAGATTGTTCTAGATGAGGAAGAAGCCATGGACATTGACGATTCTATTGTGACAAATATCAGGGATGTACAGAAAGGATCACTTGATAAAAGTGTGGCAGATGCATCATTGTTTCTTGATGATGAATCCTGCGACACAGTCATGCGCAAACCAGAACCGGTATCAAATATCCGAGAAGAGACTCTGGCTGGTGATCCTCGGTTAGAGGCACTTGATATCGGCATCACAGAATCTGCTTCTATGGATGATGCAGATGACTCTTCTGTTGATGCCTCAAAGGTCACAATTAATAATCTAGAAAGCAGTGTTGACCAGAGTATTGCTGCTGAGGAAGGAAATGAAGAGCAAGAGGATGATGATGATACTTCGAAAAAATCTGTAAAGAAACGCAAAAAACCACGGCGCTCTATTTTCTACAAGCCTCGGCCTGAACGGAAACGAAAGGAAAAAGAGCAAGGTAATTATATGCTGCAACATCCATTGTGTTTAATGTGTTGAGTTAATATAAATTTGCATAAAATTAGGGAAAATAATGACTGAAATTGGTATTTATACTACATAATATTGTTTAGATCTCCAAGACACAATGAACTACATACAGCACATCTTCTTATACTGAAATAATATTTAATTTTTTATTTTAAATGTTTTCCTTGTTTAATGCTTAGGCCGTCATTGAATTTTTACTGCAACTGATCCTTTAAGCCAGATGTTTATTTGGCCTAGTCAGGTCATTGATTGCAAGGAAGTTTGACAGTCTTGGATCTCAGTAAATTTATTAGGAGCTCATTATAGTGAGAATTTGGATTATTGATTAATTTAGGAATCAGCTGATCTCTACACACTAAGTACGGTACCTTCACACTACCTTTAAATTACACTAAGTTGTAATTGAAAATTATTAATTCATTTGATTGACAAGGGGTGAAAAGCTACACATTGCATATTATCTATTTAAGGTAGTTTTGATTGTTGACTATACATTTCATTTAGTTTTACTCATTGTTAGGAAACTTGATAATAAATTTGACTCTTTAAGTGCTTTTTATGGTAATGATGTGGCAGAAAGTTGCATGCTTTTGATTTTGTTGGAAACAATTCAATAATTAAAAACTTGTTGCTCAATGTAATTTAATGCATCCGATGTTCTAATTGGCTGGTATGAAATGATTATTTCTATGATATTAATTATTCATATTTCTATATCTTTGTACTATGGCGTTATTTAAAGCATGATAATATTTTAATGACAATTCATTGATTTCAGAGGAGAATACAACAACAGGACTTGCTGGGGAGCAGGCTTCAGTAGGCAGCCCTGTCACCAACTTAGACGAAGACTCGCAGGGATCGTCAAGTGCCAAGAAAGAGAAAGAAGTGCGCCGCTTCCGCTACGAGGTTGTCGTACCTGAGAGGTGAGACCTTCTATATAGTTACCTATTTATTTACAACTAACAGGTGCTTGATAGTGCCTGGGATCAATAAGTCCATTAAGAATTCCAAGTAATTCAATTAAGTATTTTGTTGGGATATTGTGTGTGTATATGGTACTTCATTATTATGCTGAAAGTACCTATCACTGTAATTCAGTTCGCTACATAAAAATTTTATTACCTGATTGACACTTGTATTTTTCCATCTTTTGTGTTACTCAGCACCGAAGCCTTCACAGTGGATAAGGTCATGGAGTACGTGTGGCCGCTGGAGGGAGGCTATGGTGAACATTACTTTGTACAGGTCTGCTTGCACTCCAAATTACGAGTCTTTTTTTATTCATTCATTTGATAAGTGATTTCTTTTTGGCAGGACATTATAAAACTTGAAAAGAAAGCATCAGTCCATGTAAAACCATTAGCTTTGTAACTATATTATCACTTTGCTGATTAAAAATTAAAACGATAAAATACAAAGCCTTCAACAAAGTCTATCTGGTGCACTTAATTTTCTGTGTACTGCCAGGTCAATATAGGTAGTACCTACCTACTTATTATTTTTTTGTAAATTGATTACATTCTAGATAAAGTAACCATTGATAAGAAAAAATATTCACCTTATTTTGAGCATATGTTGGAGAGCATTTCTTTCCCATATCTGCACACCTTCTATGTTACCCTTTCTATACAATTATATCATTCGGGCATTGATTTATGACCCACATCCCATATCTGCCTACTTTACATGTAAACATTTGCAGGAACACATCTCGCAGTACATCGGCATCAGCTCCTTCAAGCGCAAGTATCCTGACCTGAGACGCCGCCCCATCGACGTCTCCGAGCGCGACTACCTCAAGGAGCTGGGAGTCGTGTCAGAGATTGCCTGCGATATGGGTGAGTGGTGGGGGGTCGTTGATCCACGTGGGCAGATAGGGGTGGTTGATACTCGTGGGTAATGTTGGTGAGCAGTGAGATGGGTGATGATTTTGAGTGGTGGGGTTGGTGATGGTGTTGAAAGTTAGCAGTGGAGTGATCATTGACGTAAATATGGGTGCAGTAGTGGAGTAATTTTTACATAAGGTGCTGTAAAGATGAGCAGCTTCTATCCTTTGCGTTTGCTCCAAATAAGCAACATTGGCGAGACCTTGTAGTCAATGATTACCTACCATAACACAAGACATTCCTGCAGGGCTGACGGCGGTGCGCAGCGAGGACGTCATGGATATTCTCTTTGCTGACTTCCCTGCCAAGTTCGAGGAGCTCAGCAAGCATCTCAGTGAGAGGCGCGACAATCAGCTCAAACAACAGGGAAAAGGTTTGCACGTAATCATCAACTAGTATCAAGTCCTCTTCATAGTTTTAAACTTTATTAATTATTAATAAATGTTTCATGCTCAAGGAATAAGAAAACGACTAGAAGGCATGTATAACATATACTTTCCAGTTTTTAACATGGTTTTGCCTGTTAGATTCAGATTTTTTAGAGATTTTAGAGATTTAGATTCAGATTTTCAGAGTTTTGCCTGTTAGATTCAGACTAATTTTTATCAAACAAGTTACTAATAAATATGTGGTGAGAATATACTAGGGGATCAGAATTAAAGAGCTTTCGAAATTGATTTAATTGATATCAAATACCAAAACAGTAGAATAATTCTGAATATATTTTATTGTAGTGGACTATCAACTGGCAAACATTGACAAGTCCAAACTGCACGAGTATGCCCGACAAGCTGCAGAAGAAGCTGCCCTCTGGAATGCAGCTCTCTGCAGGGAGAAGAGAGAGGAGCGCAGGTCACTTCACACCCCAATTTATGTCTCTTTATTCTTCAGCTATAACTCATTGGAATGTCGAAGGAATCCTTACATGTGCTTGAATTCACTGCTTTATTTATAACAAGAAACTTGGACTGTATGGTTCAATGAAGATAATCACAGCAATTCGAGAGCCTTAATATCCTAAATCCCATTGTAAGGTTTTTTACCCTCTCGAATGGTTCCCACATAGTCTAAGCACCAGGCTTGAAATACGCACAAAACTTTAAAATATTCCATAAATATCGTTTGTGCCTTGAATTTAGATTAGTTCTGAAATTGTTATCATACATTGTTTTAATACTAGGGTGCTTAGAAATTAATTTATAGAATTCTCTCCCCCACCGTGAAATATTGAAGGTTTAACAAGAAATTAGCTGCAATCATGTGGTTTTCTATCATATGAGAGCGGTCTTTTCCTTATCAATAATTTGGTTTCAGAATCTCAGTAATGACAGCACACTTGGTAGACATCGCTGGGATGATGAACAAGCATAGAATAATCTCTCGATCTGTTGCTCTCTATCTGTTCATTCTCAATGTATGAGATATTCAGTATAAAATGAAAGTAACATTGATGTGTGTTCATATACCATCATCACTTTTTGCTATATTTGTAGATATATCACTAGGTATTCTTCAATCCACAACTGATTTTCATTTACTATTTATTAACTGCAACTTCTCATGATTCCTCCACTCACAATTCTCGACTCCACCTCCTCATTTTTCCAGCATTCATTAATAACGCTTCATTCACTGCAGATACTCATTCGACCTTCAAACGTTCACGCTGCAGCAGCCCTTGGGGGTGAGAAAAAAACTACCGCCTTCTGCCACGCGGGTTGGCCACTACCCTGTGGCTGTTCTGCCTGGGCAATACACGGACTACTGCAAGAGGTTTGTGAAACACTCAAGGTGCTTGTACAAGGTACACGAGGCCAGTAATGGCAAATAAATTTTTCAAATGATAACCACCACTAATGAGAAATGTTATTGATCTCGCACGAGGTCAATGAAGGACACCGGAAAGGACTATTGGCCTCGAAAGGACCCAGTAAAGGACTTTACACGAGACCATTAGCAGGATAATTAGTCGCAGTTAGCATGTTAAAAAAGTTATTCTGGCCGCCATTACTGTTCCCATGTACAAGCTCTTTTAAGGCAGCAATGGGAGAGTGACCAATCAGTAGCTGTTACCGCTTGAGTTATTTATTGAATGTGTTTGTTCAGATACACGAGTGAAGAGCTGAAGAAACTGCCCCTGAACTCGGTGTGCGTTGGGCCGCTGTATGAAGACTTGCCTCAGGAAGAAGCCGACCAACTCGGGGCCTCTGCTGATGCTGATCATGATGGACAAATTAAGAGGTTGTCTGATGTCCATTAAATTCAGGCGACAAAATGGTGTTGATGCAATCTTCTCACCCCGACTATTTAGGAATACTAAAATCAATATTCTCTGTTCGACGCACAATGCCATGATGCGCGTTCTGGTCTAATTCCACATTGCCACTGAGAATAAAATTTAGAAACTAAATAATTGTTCCTAGTGTTGTTTTCAAAATGCATGCACAACAAATTCATTCATGTTACCATTTATTTATTTAGTCCCTGCATTTTTGTTTTTTCATTCAGAATTTTATTTTGAAATCCCATTATCTAAATTTCATCGTCATTTAACTTGAAACTGGACGATAGTCCAAAGTCATGAATCCCCCGGCCAACTGCCTTTCTGTTCACTCAAAACTCTTAACAATGAAATGTTTTCGACCATAATTAAAGTGTATATCCTACAAACAATGATCGATTAAGGAACATATTATCATGAAACTCGTGTATTGCAGTGAGCTTCCTGAGGAGAAGGGGCTGCTGTGCAAGGTGTGTTTCTTCGGCAAGGAAAGAAACAAGGCAGGCAAACCTGAAGGCCTGATAGTTTGCGCCAAATGCTCGTCTGCCTGTAAGTTCAAAAGTTCAACCAAGTCAGCTTGTTTCTGGAACTTTTTCCTATTCTAGTGCTTCCCATGGTCTAATGTTTTGTGAATACGGAATTGTATATGCAATTGCCCTAAACCACGTATTCGGTTCAGCTTGCAATTACAAAATTCTTCCCATAATTCCCACGTTTATCAGGAATTTCAGTCGTGATAGTGTTGCCTTGAGCCATGTGTTTAATGTAAATTGCAACGATGTTTGTTTGTGTCTGTACTCTGTAAACTTCCTAAAATAAGTAGCCTCGTGCTCACAAGAACACATTTTATTTCCAGCGCACGCGTCTTGCGTCGACCTGAACCCAAGCATGATTCCGCGCATCAACTCGTACAGCTGGCAATGCATGGAATGCAAGCACTGCATGCAGTGCAAGACTGCTGAGGACGAAGATAAAATGATTTTCTGTGATCTTTGTGACAGGGGGTAAGTCACGCAAAATGATGTTCTGTTACGTTTGGGATAATGGTTATGTCATGCAAGTTGATTTTTCGTGATATTTCTGACCATGGGTAAGTCACGCATACGGATGTTCTGTTTGCATACGGATTTTTGTTTGTGACATGGAGCAAGCCGCGTCCAGGGATCTTTGAGCTTTGTTGAAGTACGCAAATTCACTACAAGTATATCTAGCTCACGGAGACATAATATACCGATACGCCAATCTAGCAATCTCAGCCTCATTGAACATTGTCCATAACACACCACATCCTAAGTGTAGCAAGTCCCACATCATAACTCGTGATATTACAGGTACCACATATACTGCGTGGGGCTGCGTCGCGTACCACAGGGGCGATGGCACTGCAAGGAGTGTGCCATGTGCAACAGCTGTGGTGCCAGGACGCCTGCTGGTGGCGAGGTCATCAAGAACGCTGAGTGGCAGCATGAGGTAGCCTTGTTTTTGTTGTTGTTGTTGGTAGCCTTGTTGTGTTGGCAGCATGAGGTAGCCTTCATCTCATACCGGTACTTCTTTATACCAGTGTTTTTTTAGCTCGTTTTCATTGCCTTATTTTTAATATTTTGTGTTCATAGTTTACTCTTTGTTAAATTTTTCAGGCCTGTCTATACATCTATAGCGTTTTATTAGCTCGTTTTCATTGCCTTATTTTTACAACACTTCTCTTTAACTTCACTTCTTGTCTGTCTGTCTGTCTGTCTGTCTGCTACAAATCTTGTAATCAAAATTTAATACACTTCTACTTATCCTATCGATCTGAAATTTTGCCAACTTGTGTAAAGTTGGAGACAATGCATGAATCAAATGTCAAAATAAATGATTTTAGAAATTAAAAAAAATTTTTTTTTCAATATTAAAAAAATTGAAAAAATAATTTCGTCAGCTACAAATCTTATAACTGATATTTGACACACTTTTACCTGTCTAATTGATCTGAAATTTTGCACACTGGTGTGAAATCAGAGGCAATGCACGAATCAATTAACAGAATAAATAATTTTGAAAAAAATGTATATATTAAAAAAATTTTATATATATTTAAAAAATTGAAAAGGTAATTTTTTTAATTTTCGAAAATTAGATGAGAAATTCATTGTACATCTGTAAGATTGGAGATACTGGATTCTTTGGAAGTGTTGTCTTTAAAAAGTAATTTTTAAACGTATATTATTAATATTTTGTGTCCATATTTCACTCTTTGTTAAATTTTTAAGCTCTGTCTATACTTATAGAACGTATTTTTATAAAGCTGTCCCACCACATTTTATTATGTACCTAACAATTTATAAGCAAAGCATAAGTTTTCGATGCAGATCTGAATTTGCTTGGAATTTATTGTGCTTCTGAATTCTCGGTTAACTTGCGATCCAAGAAAATTTATGATACAAGTACTTTTATAATGTTGCCTTAATGTCATTATTTGGTGCTGTAGTATTTTGATTCCCATTTCAGTTCCGGAAGCGCAAGGACAACAAGATCGGGTACGCGACGACGCTGTGTGTGCCGTGCGACCGCCTCTGGAAGCGCCGTCAGTATTGCTACGTGTGCCTAAAGGTCTACAAGAGCATCGTCGAGGACAGCATGGTGCGCTGCGCCAACTGCCCCAAGTACATTCACAGGGAAAAACGTGAGTTGGATGAATAATAACTTTGCGCCTCCATCGATGGATATGTAGAGAGAGTTTTGAGCTTTATATTCAAGAAATATGGAATTTTTTGAATGGATACTCATAGAGAAACGTGATTACGGACACTCAACACGGGATATTCAAGGACAATTTGTCTTGTAAAATTAAATTCACTCATGATGTTCTATGATCTAGAATTTGCAATAACCAGAGCAAAGTCTCATATTTGAACCCTGGAACCACCTAATCATGTTAAAAAACTAATCATTATGAAAATAAGAACTAATCGTAATTACCATGGGAACTAATTTAAATTTATAATAAAGAAGCTAATCGTGACTGAGCAGAAGAACTAATATTGAATATTAACAGACGAATGCAGCGCGATGTTCGAGGGCGAGTTCCTATGTCTGCCATGCTTCAAGTCGAGCAAGACGACCATCCTCAACCACAACCGCATCATCGCTGCTGCCAAGAGGAAGATGGCGTCTGGATTCTAGCAATGCTTTATCTCCTCTTCATAATTTAGATCGCGTTCACATTGTTCATTTAATTTACTTTCCTTCACTACAGTTCAGAAAACTAACACGAACTTTAGATTGCGTTAGTTTTCTTTATCTTCTTTTCATTATTTACTTGACGTTCACGATATCCATTTAATTCACTTGCTGACTTCATATTGCATTAGTTAATAACCTTATTGGATTATGTGGCTTCTTTGATGACTGGTTCTGCATTTTTATAATGTGATTTTTCTCGTATTGGTCTATACAATGTGGATGTTCAGATGAACATTGGTTATTAATCTGGTTTCAGCTGTATTGCGTGGATCAGTGTATTTTACATTCAGAACACCTTATTTACTGCATTCCAGTCAGATAAGCAGTGCACTATTGTTTTCACATTGTAAAATTAAATGTGCTTTCTTCATTTAAGACTAGCATTATCTGGTTGACAAGCAGCGACTCTTACTGTGGATGTCTGCGACGAATCAGCTTCTCACATTATTTTACTGGATCACAATCTTTCTATTTTTATCGGTTTTCTAGGGGTACTTCTGAATTCCATTATTATGCAACGTTTCTCAAGTTTGACTCATCTTATACACTTGAATGCAATCTTTCAAAGTCATAGCAAAAAAAAAAAATAAATAAATAAATAAAAATAGCAAAGACATAGCAAAATCTGAAAAAATTTTATTCGTGGAGAAATTTAACAGTACATTGTAAAACAAACTTTCCTCAATTGTGCGTTTCTACGTGGAATTCTTAAATTATTTTTTCTATGTCTTTGCAGTAAATATTTTCATTTACGAGGTAAAAAGTATTAAATATATAGGTAAATAACGAGGTATCACGAATCTCTTATTATCTAAATTCGCTCGAATCAAAATATTTTAAATTCTTTTATGTTAATTGATAACAATTTTAAGTGCAAATCTTGCAGCGTTGGCGTTATTAGCATTCCAGGGGTTTTAATAAGGCTTTTTCTTGGTCTATGGGGTTCGATTTGCACTCTTCATCACGTGTAGGTTTACGATAAATTCATTCAAGTTATTATGTTGTCTTCCAATCAAGCTAAATAGTTTGGGATAATTTCACGGTTTCAAACACGTGATAATGGATGAAAATCTTCTAAAAAATGGTAACTGTGGCTTGAGATCCTTGAGTATCAATATGATACATCATTATCTGCATGCAGGCGGCTGCGATCATTTCTTGATGCTTGCCCATTTTATGCTTTACTTTAATTTTTGGGGTTGCTTGCATTGATCTGTGCGTTTGAAAACGAACATTTTTTGGATGTATTAAAGTAGGGAATTTTTGTGGTGATAATTTGATAGAGTTCTTGGAATATACTGCAATTAATGTCTAGTTACTAATTAGTTTCATGTTGGTGATTAGGTTATTAATTCTAAGTGGTAGTACTGTAACAAGTGAACTGATTTTCTCAAGACTAAGTCAGTCGCCTCATCATTTCATTTCCCTTCTAATACGTTTAGAGTGCCTACAATAAATTATTGCGTTATTTCCGAATGAAAACCTCGTCTTTTGATATAGGTACTGACGAAAGGACCCATTTCCATTACATTTTCCCGGCAGTGATGCAACCATGGTTGAACTAATACAATAATATACATTGTATGATATGACGTAATACAATAATATAGATTTTATTATATGAAGTAATACAATAATACAGATTGTATTATATGAAGTAATATAATAATATACATTGTGTTATATGAAATAGTACAATAATATAAATTGTATTAGTTCAACTGTGGATGTACAAACGTCTGGACTGATGTTTATTTTCTCATTGTCCTGGCCTTTATAGATGATCATCCCGGACATGACTTCACGACTTTTATTGACTCCTAAAGTGTGGTGCAGGCCTTCGTACTGTCGTACAACAGCAAGCATCTCAGCATAGGGGCAATCCTGGCTGAACCTGTGCGCCTGGCGGAGGCGGGGAGAACAGTGAGCATCTGCTGGGTCCCTGGACACGTGGGATGTGGGGGCAACCACAGGGCGGATGAGGCGGTGGTGGGCGCTGCTTCGTCAGACGCGACCATTTATGGGGAGGACGTGCCATGCCAAGACCACTACCCCCACATTAGGGCTAGCGTTCGCCACATCAAGGAAAGCGTATCAAGGAAAAATCAAAGAAAGCAAAGGAACAATCAAGGAAAGCGTATCAGCTCGGAGCTCATTGTACCAGAGATCCCGACAGATGGAGGTAGCGCTATAGGTGTTGACTAGAATTGGTCATACGCGCCCCACCCATGGCTACATGACTGAGCGCCGGCCTATGCCATACTGTGACCCTCCCATACTGTAGTACCCCTGACAGTTTTACATGTCTTAGCTGATTGTGCTAGCCACAGCGACATCCGACACAACTGTCACCTCAACACATCAGCCCTTCATCATGACGAAATGCTTAACAATGCTAAGAAAGGACCAGCAAAACAACTTCAGAACTGACAACCTTAGACGATATTTGATAGAATGCAACCTGCTACCAGAGATCTAGCATGATCCCTTGACGACACCGCCTTTCCGCCATATGCCGGAAACTGTATTTGCACCTAACCCATCACCCAGACGAAGCCCCACTACCTTGACACTGGACTTCGTACAAGAGGCCGTATCGGACCCTCGCTCCGTGAACAGAGAATCTTCCGTCCAACCCCTGCGCCTAAATGGATCAGGCTGCAAGCCTGGAAGATAGAAGAAATCAATTACTTTGAACACAACTGAAGATCGCACTTCCGGGGCGAAACAGATAGCTACGTGAAGCGCTCCCAAAACTACTTCCACTATAAAAGCAAGTCAAGCAACCTTCTACCGCGCTAGCAACCTTCTACCGTTTTAAATCGAAACTAAAATATAATTCATTCATTCAGTCATCTTAATTACTTCACTCTCAGTTTTCAACTGTATTTTAATTTGATTGGTTCAAGTGCATTTAGAATAGTGACTCATTTAATTTAATTCATGGGACTATTTCATCCACTGGATTTTTGTGGTTCTCAAATGAGCTTCGCTCCGCGGGATTGAATAACGTTTGTGCAGAAACTCGTCATGCTGATTTAGTTACGTGTCTACGGAAATTATTAACTGAAATTATTATGATAAAACATGGTTAATAAATCCCGCAGGGGAGTGGAATTACCTCCCCACTCGGGGAATTGATGATCAGTGCCATCCCCCGGGATCCCTGCACTGAACACTGCTACTGAATAATGCACTGCTCAGTTCTGAATCATGTGCTGCTCAGTTCTGAATCATGTGCTGCTCAGTTCTGAATCATGTGCTGCTTAGTTCTGAATCATGTACTGCTGAGTTCTAAATCATGTACTGCTCAGTTCTAAATCATGTGTTGCTCAGTTCTAAATCATGTACTGCTCAGTTATAAATCATGTATTGCTCAGTTCTAAATAATGTGCTGCTCAGTTCTAAATAATGTACTGCTCAGTTCTGAATGTACTGCTCAATTCTGAATAATATACTGCTCAGTTCTGAATAATGCACTGCTCAGTTCTGAATCATATGCTGCTCAGTTTTAAATGTTCTGCTCAGTTCAAAATCTTGCCCTGCGTTCCGCTGTTTGGTGCTTTACTGCTTTTAACCAAATTTTGCTACCTTGCGATGACCATTTCCTTTAAAATCATTGATAAGTCATCCATCTTCCAGCATGCTAGTTTTCACTGAACTGCAAATTCCAGCAGAATAAATATTAGTTCTAATTAGACCTAAAAGTCTCACTCGCATACGACCTGAAGAAATTAGGTCACTAATGTCTTTTGTTACGAATTATTAATCGGCAATACTGTTATTCAATTCGATTTTGTTATAATCATTTGAAAGTTAACTTGAATAGTTAGATGTTCAATTACGTACTACTAATATTACGTCTTTAATTCCTTTGAAATTTCAATGTTACCAACTAAACACGCGTGCTACTCTGTTCATGCGTTTGTTGTTCACAATAACCTATAGTTTCTTCACGTGGTATTTTTAGTTCGTTGACACAACAGTTGACCTCATCATGACGCCTACGTTCAAGGCTGTAGAGAAGGTGCTGAAAGACAAGCGATCTCTCACTCTCGAGCTGGCCAAGCTCATCGCTGACTCTGCTGCCGAAGCCATTGCTGCTAGAGGTGTCTTCACCCTCGGACTTTCCGGTAAACCCTAGGATTTTCTTCTTGAACCTTCCGCTCCTTGTGAAAATTCTATCATAGGTCAATATGCTCACGCTAAATGCCGCCAGAGACGACTTCTCTTTCGGACTTTCCGGTAAACCCTAGGATTTTCTTCATGAACCTTCCGCCACTCCTTGTGAAAATTCGATCGTACATCAAAATGCAATAGTTGAGAAATTATTCATGCAAATGAGCAAACGTTTTCAAGATTTTCATTTCCAAGTCGTTCTGAAATAAAACTGGATTATTTTATTGAATTCGTCTAATTTATTTAATATGCATTTATTTATCTAATTTATCACATAAGGTGATAAATAGTTGGGCTTGAGTTTGTCGTTGATCCTAATTTTTGTATCGAAGTCGTTCAAAGCAGCGACTTGAATAATTTCATTTCACATAAAGACCACGTCAGAGAACGAACTTTTAAGCGTTATTTCCTTGTGTCAGTTGTGACATTCTAAAGAATATTTCATTACCATTCGTCCATTGCTACTGAGCTGAGAACTAGTTGGGCTTTTCTCAGTTGGGCTTTTCCGCCTCAATGACATCGATTTTTAACAGATCAACCCAGAGTAATCATTAAGTCTATATGTCTATTGCGTATTAAATCTGCATTATTTTAATTAGGTGGTTCGATGGCTGGGTTTGTATGCAATGGCTTGCCGTCCATCACGACGGACTGGAGTGCGTGGCGCCTCCTGTTCTGCGACGAGCGACTCGTGTCTGTCGACAGCCCTGACTCTACGCTGCAGCTCTACCTGACCGGCCTGCTCGACACCACCCCACTCACCAGGGACCAGTTCCTCCAAGTCGATGTCAGCCTCCAACGTACGCCATATGTACTTGTATTTCATCAGTTTGTTATCATTAATTTTATTATATTATTTATATTATAAGTTTATTATATTATATATTTATATTATGTTATATTTATTTATTATTATATTATTGTAATAATGCTAGTTAATTTTATTAATGATATTTGTTTGATTAAATTGCAAACTGTGCATAAAAATTAACAAGCAGAGAAAATTGTAGTGAATTCATCATAATTTCAAACACCATGGAATGAAATCATGGTGAATTTGGTTGTTGTTTTCATGGTTTCTAGATTCATGGCCGTATATGCTTTTTGATTGATTGCTTACAGGCTCATTGTATTGAAGTTGAAAAAAAGTACTTGAATGTACAAACAGTGCGCTGTGAACCTCATTTAGTATGTGGAAAACAATGCTGTTGTTCTTATTTGTTGACGTCATTCACATCAGGCTCTTTCTGTGGGTTCATTGCATCAACAAATAGAACGCCCATTTTTAGCGTATTTTCTGATTTATGGAAAAAATACACTATTGTGCTCGCCATGTCCGTCCGTCTGTCTGTCCATCCGTGACTTCACGTTTTCGTCGACGAGAAAATGCGCTCTCTGTCACTCACTGCAGTGAGTACTGAGTTATATATTTTTTTTCTTAACCAATCATCAACCCTGATTATCATTTACCGCAGCCAACGAAGCCGCTACAGATTACGAAGAGAAGCTGCGGAGCCTTCTTCTCCAGGATACACCTTGGCCACGACTGGACCTGCTACTGCTGGGTGTAGGTCCTGACGGGCACACAGCGTCGCTGTTCCCCCAGCACCCACAGCTGCAGGAGCAGCAGAGGTGGGTGGTCGCTGTCACGGACTCCCCCAAGCCTCCCCCAGCGCGCGTCACCCTCACGCTCCCCGTCCTCAACAACGCCAGGCGCTGCATCATGGCCTTCGCTGGAGCCGACAAGGCAGACATTGTCAAGGTGGGTCATGCTACGTGGGTCATGCTGGTGTTTGGCATGCTACGTGTGTCATGCTGGTGTTTGGCATGCTACGTGAGTCATGCTGGTGTTTGGCATGCTACGTGTGTCATGCTGGTGTCAGGCATGCTACGTGGGTCATGCTGGTGTCAGGCATGCTACGTGGGTCATGCTGGTGTCAGGCATGCTACGTGGGTCATGCTGGTGTCAGGCATGCTACGTGTGTCATGCTGGTGTTAGGAATCATGCATCATCCTGATATTGTAAGTAATATTTTCATGACTACCACGCTCTGCGAGATGAGCTAGACATCGATGTCTCGTGATGAGACAACGATGTAAAAAGCAATGCCTTTTCTCTTATTGTGTATTTCTCCCTGACCCAATTTCGCCCTGTCAAAGGATGTTTCAATGCCACTTCCACTCTCTGCTCGCGCTAGAAGGTTTGTAACTATTTGGACAATATGACTCCTTCATTTATTTGAGTGCAGACGCTGAAGGCGGAGCGCGACGCGGACGTGACGGCGACGACGCTGCCAGCGGCGAGGGTGCGGCCCACGGACGGCGACCTCCTGTGGCTCATGGACGCCGCCGCTGCCTCCAAACTCTGACCGATCCTCGCGCTCGCTCGGTCTTCTCCACACCAGTTCAATATTCCCTTAATTCGCTCATTTATGAAGCGTTTTCATAATGAATTTATTGTTCTGCTTGTGGTTCCTCTGTGCGTACAAATTATTTGTTCTGATAATTCGTTTTTTTCTATGAAGTCTCTTTTTATTATAAGTTTATTCTCCAGTTGTTGTTTCTCTGTGCGTACAACGTACACGTGCCTTATTTTCATCATGAATTTATTGTTCTGCTTGTGGTTCCTCTGTGCGCACAAATTATTTGTTCTGATAATTCGTTTTTTCTATGAAGTCTCTTTTTATTAAAAGTATATTTTCCGGTTATTGTTTCTCTGTGCGCATAACGTACACGTGCCTTATAGGTCCCCGAATTTGTTGCTATTGTGACGTATTTATTTCTATAATAATTATATTTTGAGAGGTTGTTTTACTATGGGTTTACTGGTTTCATTTTGTTGTTTATTTACGTTTTGGATCACGAAACGCTTACTAATTAGTTGACAGATGAATAAAACTCTCAGAACTTTTCTCTCGTTTAAATTGACAAATTATCAAAATTAGGAGCTACATATAAGCACGTGAGAAAGCTTGTGAAAAATTTCATTGAGTTATTTGTACAGCATGACAATATTAAGAAACAAACACTTTCAAATCTAACTCGTAATCATTAAAAAAAAGAAGATTGTAAAAGTATGCGTGTAATTGGATGGTGAAAACAATTTAATTATAAATGCGATACGAGTGTTAGTAACCAGATCTGCCCAGCAGATCGATGTCTGCAGATTGCATCATTACATCATATTCATCATCCCACCATTCCTTCGACCATTGAGTTTCATTTTGTGGAGTTGACTTGGATTCATCAGAGCTGTTGTTCGACCAGTCCGCCTCGTCGGCGCCGCGTGACCACGGCACAGAATGAGCTGGCAGTTCCCACTCTGCAGATTTGTAACCACGACATTCAGGATCGAAACACTTTTGGTACCACGTCATGGTCGCGATGTTGACCACGTAGAAAATGCCGTTGCTTTTGTGTTCACGCCCTATGTTGTGGCAATAACGGTAACCTTCAATCGTGTATACAATCGTCTGGGTTTTGTCGAAGTATGTCCATCTCCGGATGGTCCCTCCGTTGATTTGATTTGATATAAAATCGTCCAATTCTTCGAAAGGACTTTTGCTAGCTAGTCTGGCCGCACATTTTACATTATTGAGTGACGATAAGGCGGGTTTGGGACGATCGGTCAGTTCTTGGTCACCAAACGTCACTGTTCGACACGAGGGCGATACGAACGTTACGAGAGAGGCCAAGAAAATATCTTCGTCATTACTGTTGAACGTGAAGCCTGTCGCGTCATGAGCCAATAGCAGAGGAGTATTTTTGCCATATTTTGTTGCTTGATATAGACGGAAGTTTCTGTTTCTACTGTACACTCCCTGATCAATGAACAAGGCCTTATGTCCGTCCTTCGTATTGACAAATAAAGAATGAAAGTCGTGGTCTATCGATTGGGTTAGGTCTGTCGTTGAATTATCGGTGCATGACTTGGTAATTTTCTCACAGAGGCTGCGAACAAAATTTCCAACGTTTAAATTGTTTTTAAAAGCAATTGATTCCAAGTCAAAAATGAGATGTTTACTGAATTTTTTGCTCGTTGAACTATCGAGATTCACAATTTTTTCATGAGGACAAGGAACGTTGTAGGTGCTCTCGATTAAATGCTGTACTATGGAGATGAGAACTTTCGTCATTGCCACGCCATCCTTGCTTTCGTTCAAATCCTTCTCAAATTCCAAGTCAAAATACAACTTTGAGCGTCTGTGAACAGGAATAACCTCATAAGCGGTACGCTGGGCCAACGGCCTATTTCTAAAATTATCATAAAAAACTCTGGGGTCTGCCACAACGAACTGTCGTTTACCGGCGCCACCGAAAGTTGAGGACTCGAACGCGAAGACGAAGAGCGTAGGGTCTTGCTCAGCTTGGTCCAGAGCAGCGAGCTGTGTCGGGAAAACATCCCATGCAGGACACGGTCCCAAAATACCGTACCGTGGACACATGTCAGGCACTGGCCGCGTGCTGAATTCTTCCTCGCGACGCTCTATTTTTTCTTTGAGGCTTCGGATCAACTTGGACGCTTTCTTACCGTAAAAACTGTGAACGTCATGCCCAGAACCTCCACTGTTGTTAGACATTGTTTTCCTATTCTATTTGCCTCTATCATTCGTGTTGTTTTAACAGTTTTGCGGTAAAATATTCTAGGATTTCACAAAACTATTATAATCCCTGTTTAGACCGAATGATGTTCCCTGAAAATACAGAAGAGAGATATGAATTGGTTGCATGTTATAAAATTAATTTAAACCGACTACACTTTAAAGATTCCGTGTACGAACAACCCTTCACAACCCCATTTGCGACCAGGCTCCGGGTCGCATAAGCCGCTCATCCGTAATAAAACTTCCATAACCAAACACGAGACGTGACCACTTGAAATTCAAATGAAAGACGGAAAGGGGCAGGCGATCACGAAACCTTTAAATTTTGTTATAATAATAACAATAATATATAACAACGATTTCAGTGTTTAGTAGGCCGTAGCCCTGTCGCCGATTCTCAACATCGCGACAGGGCTCTCAACAGCATTTTGCGGTCTCGAGCACGCAACTCACTGCTACAATTCCGCTGTGCTTAACCGCCCGGCCGCCTCGCCGATTCTGACCAGAAACTGGCGCACAGAGCTGGGATCGAACCCGCGCCTCTCTGCTCCAATCTTGGTACTCTGAACTGTAAGTATTCACACTCGAATAAAAATGTTTATTTACACTAAGTAAATATCCTTAATGAGCAATGCGTTCATCGGCAGACTCAGCTCGCCGTCAACGTGAGCTATACTTTCGTGTTATTTTCAAACAGATCCAGTTTATTTACGGATGTCAAGTTAAGAAGGAATAAATCGATCCCGTAACTCACATGTGAGCGTTAAATAGGCATATATTTGGCAATATGGAACATTCGCATTGAAAGCCTCAATAATGAAAGGCTACAAATGCTTCCTTGAAATCGGAAAAAAGTTGCACTTGCTGCCCATAGAGTGAAGCTAGCATTTCCTGCAATTGCCAGTGCTCGACAACATTGAAGTCTCAATAACATAAGAGCTGATAAAAAAATAAAATAAAAATCATATTACAAAAGCTTGCTATCATCCTGAGCTGACGACGTCAGCATCTGCAATGAGTTTACTCCACTCAGAAAATAAATGGGGGCGCACTGTCCGAATAGTGACACACTCCCTGCAAGTAGCACTGATATTCTCCAACTGGATGAGGACGAAAAGCAGTAAAACGTGAATCTCTATTAGAACAATGTTTCCTTATTTGCCTGAGTGGTGGACTCGGGTAAGGCCCGGGGGAGCGTCAGGTTCCCCTCGGAGCGTGTGAACTCCGTCACCCCTGCAGGCTATAGACAAGCTACTGGGGCCATACTTCCAAAATAAGCCAAGTGAACGTAAGTACTTACGCTCTATTTTCTCGTCTATGATTGGTGCATTTTGCTTGAAAGGCCGTCAATGATTGGCTGACCAACTTACGATCTCTTAACTTTTTCGAGAGTATGGACCCTGGTGGGGTTAGAATTAACACTGAATTGATAACCCTCGTTGATAAATGAAAATTATAAAAAACTTACGAGAAGCATGACGATTTGGAAACTTAAGGTTCTCTCAGATAAACGCTCTCGTTGAATGAATGTTAGAACATGTAAAGCCATGGTGATTTATAATTTCTCGATAATTCGCTAGTGATATGCATGGAACTTTTATTAAAAAACAGGGAAAGTAAAGTGCTACCTAAGATAATTTATAGAGTGAGGAAAACTCAGCCGGGTCAGGATATGATATACTTTACACATTTAACTATAACACATAGTTTCACCCCTTAAAGATGTATAAAAAACGAAATTGAAAGCATCATTGTATTTATAACACAACAACATGGAACAATATTGTCGTACGTATCTTACTATTTTCATAGATAAACTTCGCCTCGCGGGATGATCAACCCAATAAGTTATAGTCCAATCGTTCGAGTTACTTATTTCATCGAATTATTTCTAGCCTAACTTTGTGTAGGATTCTAAACAATATAAACTCAATGGATTTCTCCAGCGAAATCCTGTTCACAGATTTCCGCCAAGTAGACGAAATTGAAGGCATCTTTGTATGTGCTATAAATGAAAATTCTCAAATTATCAAACTACAACCTCCATAAGTGTTATGTTAATCGTATTAAAAACGAACTGAAGATAAATTTTACTTATGAATCATTTAATAATTGTCTGAATTATAAATCGTATTCAAAAGCATACGAAATGCAGATATTTTACACTAAGTAGATAATTTGGATTTTCACACAATAAAAGTAATACCTAGACGGTGGCAAGACGATGGCTTGAGAAGCGGAGCTATAAAATAACATTCAATCAATATCATCTTACAAGCATATCTAACAATATATGTAGCTCACATATACTAAAATTCGCCCACAAAATCCCCATATATAAACATACATTAAAACATAACTTTCCACAAGCACTAACTTCTAAACGAAGCAAAATCCAAGATTTTTATCCAGTAAAGAAAATACAAAATTCAATTCATGAACCAGAACGATGCACCTCCTCATTTTATCAGCACAAAATGTTGAAGGCTATGAATCAATTAAGTTATAGACAAATACAGAATTTCTATACTTTTAAATTTCTCAAAGAAACCAGCAGAGGAAATAAAGGAATAAAACAATTTCCACAGGTATTTCAAAGAAAAAATTTGCGTACAAAACAGAAGATATATAAATGTTAAACAATTACCGTACCTTATCAACTCACAGACCTGTAGCTTATATAAGACAAACAAGTCAGTAGTTTTGAAGGCTACAGGCTACTAGGTAGATATCGTCCGGATTCCATTATTCCAATAAAACGTGTATTTATAACAAAAAAAAACTAAATGTTTAGATAATATCACAAACTTGAAGTGCTTCCTTGAGAAGCCATACAACGCAGACGCCTCCGAGGTACATACTAGTTGTAGGGTTGAAGCAACACCAACCAAAGAAATCTCTTTGCCTAGACACTAGAATATAGGTCAACATTATAAAGCATTTCAAATGATGGCATCTAATTGCCGTAAATCTAAGATCTACACTAAACACTTGCGACTGCTGAAAATGCATTATTTTTCAGTGCGTTCTAGACTACAAGAAAATTGTACCAAGCCAGTCCAAGAGAGTTGAGTTTTTGGAGAATTTAAATAAATGAAGTTAAATGCAACTCAACCCTGGTAGAAGAATTTAAATATTTAGGCGTTTACATACGTACAGGTAAAGCGATTGGTAACAATGACCATCAGCAGTGGGAAACTAGTAATAAATAACTACTGTTATTTATTAATAGTGAAGGTTCACAAGCTTTACTTTTGACACAATTTCTTCAAGTTATTACCACCATCAGCTTCTTCATGTCACCACAACCAACCAGTTCTGAGCAGCTGTCAGTAGTAGTCGAATACCTTAGATTTTCTTCACTAATAAATTCCTATGTTCAGGTGAGAGGCAAACTGTGCATCATGACAAAATAAACTTATTCAACGCATCCACATGGCCACATAACACACTAACTCTTATTAAGTCATCGATTACCCTAAAAATAGGATATTTTATATATTTCGGCTAGTTAATTACCTACTGACATACTATCAGATATTATGCGTTTGAACTATTATTTCATAGTGCGCATCCTGATCAACAGGTAATCTGATATATATAGTAACTTAGGTATCCAAGCCACAAATAATTAATTCAATAGAAAACGGAATCGCAATGAAAATTTTACGACATCCGAACATCGATTGGCAGGTAGAAATGTCGTAATTTGTCCTCAGGCGTGATTACATTTCTGATCACCATCATCACACAAGTAAATTCCGTAATGCTGTATTAACTTAGTAAACTCTCTTACAACGCTCCCCGGGTTTTTATGATGCAAAGCATATAATTTTGTCTTTAGCCCTCAACAGCCAATTATATTCAAATCGCGAGTTAATGGTACGATAACAATAAATGGGAGAATCATTTGACATGGAGAGCAAAAGGCGCAGGAAGCCATTTCAACATTCAAGTACTTATATGTTCGAATTAGGCCTTGGCATAGGAGAGACATTGTTGAAGTTCTCTTTAAAATGAATTCATTGACATATTTGAACTTGTTACCAGAAATATCGCTGCAACATCAGAATATATTGACATTGGTCAATCGAAGTGACAAGCGCTTGGAGGTCAACAGAAGAAACGGAATAAACTGGTTAGATTAAAGAATATTTTCAAAATAATAGCTTGATAAAGTTCAATAAAATGGTGAAAAATCGAACGCAATACATGTAAATACAAGTAAAGGTAGATTAGCTCTTTCCAGAACAAACAGACGAGGATATGAATATCAAACGGATAAATAGTATAAAATTACCCACCAGTCAATCCACCTGCATTAAAAAGCAACAAATTAGCAATATGACGCCTAAAAACCAATCATTAATTCTCCACAATAAGTAACATTTCAAATATGTATAAACTAGACAGCAATTGACCAAGTGCAATTGTAGATAAATCTTTCCACGAGTTAGGTGAACCAGAGCCTGGGCTAAAATAAAAGTGATAATAATCAAATAGCTGCTACATATTTCATAAATGTAAGCTGTCAACAAAAGAATCTAGTCCCAAATAATGCTGTGCAGAAATGGAAAAATTGAGCATTAGGTTACAATAAAATTACATGAAAACTAATATGCTGGTAAACCGTATACAAACGTCCAATGAATTAAGTTGAATACAAAGGAAATTCATTGAAGCTCGCATAGTAACTGTCAAAACCCGCTAATTACTTGTAAATTATAAAATAAATAGGTACCGTTCTTTAAAAATTTAATGAAATCGCCATGAGCGCCCCTCAGGGACCAGTTTAGCTTCACAATATTTATCTACAACCCGTCAGAATTGATTGCATCCTATAATAATCTCGAAAATAAACTCCAGTTTATTTATACAACAAACCAGGGAAGGTAGCAACAAACTCATTTCCAATGAGCTTATTTCAGCCCCATAACCAACAGTTAATTATGCATTTGACATAATTTAAAAATAAATGGAACGAGAGGGCAAATTTTTCCATCAATTATACGTACGTTTCTATTTCAATGGAAAAGTAACATTAGAAGATATACCTAATACATACACTGGTACCACAGGAAAATATGATCAAATTTTTCACAGTAACATACCAATGACAGCAAAAAACGTTTAAAAAAATTTGGATAAAAAACTTCTTTCACATCTTTTGCAAATTGGAACATAAAAATCTGTACTACATATCCATTGTCCTGTACAATGATTAGATAAGTTATTTATTGAAGATCTCACTGATAGAATAAATTTTGAAGTATTATTGTTTCTTGCATGATAAAACATACAATATACAATGTTAATGCAGTGAATTTTTGAAAATATTTACTAGTCACACATGGCAAAACAATATCCAACTGCAAAGTATGAGTTTAGCAATATAAACTAGTATGTAAGATACAGTGCAATAAAACAAGTATAATTAAGCAACTTTTTGCAAGGCAATTCACAAAAATATAAAACTTGTTTGTGCCTCACAATATATGCTCAACAGATCATAGATCAACAAAACTCCCCTGTACAGCAATTAAGGTCATGGAGGAAAAGTTTCATGATTTGTGTTAATGCCAAATGGTCTGACAAGAACCTATGCGTATAGATTTAATGTAAGAAAATACTACTAAGTTCTCAATACTTGATGCCACATGGCCTGATGAGATAGAATTGGAAATTTTAAACAGTACTAAAAGTAGTATCACGCATATAATTTCCTAATACTTGTTGATACCAAACAGCCGGACGAGATGAAACTGAGGCAGTTTGGGCACCAAGACAAAAAGCAGCGTCGTGGCGTTCACCACAAAGTGATTAAATTGATACTTGGTGTAAAAGCACGCCAGCAAAAACCTGAAATAATATAAAATTTATTTAATGAAATGCTACATTGGTGAGTATCACAGATATATTATGTCAAAGAAACCTAGAAATTTAACCAATCCAACACATGAATTATTGTCTTTTTTTTTCAATATGACAAATTATTGCTGCAAACATTTGTTAATTCATGAAATTATAAAAGATTTACATGTACTTAGTAAACTTGAATCAATCTTCTAAAATTTAAAAACTTGATCTGTATGACAAGAAAAAGAATGAAGAGGAGCTGACATTTTTAGTTACTTGATGGGAAGTTGAACAGCAAGCAAAGACACACAAGAAAATCAAATGACATAAAATGATCCACTGCGCTTGTTGTGAGTTATTACATTGAACTGACCTGGTAACTGGTTACCCACTAAAAAAAAACAAGTCAGTGGACACACATGCATGTTAAACTCACATTATAACTGGCACAGCTGTAAGCAGCCTACGGGTGCTGGTCCACTGTCGCCCGTAATCTATTTGCTCCCAGGCAGTTAACTGCCGAGCCTGGCCTTGATCTTGCAGGTGCCAAGGGGTGCCTTTCATCAAGTGCAAAAAAAGGAATGAGGCCTGAAAAAGAAATAAAATAAGGAATGCTTATAATATTTCTTGTCATTAATTTAATCATTGAAAAATGTCAACAAATATGGCACACTACTTTCTTTGTACAAAAAAATTGCCAGTGAAGCCATTTTATGGTTTAAGTCAGTATTTCAATGAGGAAAGGTCTAAGAAGCTTTCAACTGAATGTAGGCAAATCATCCATTTAAAAACACAAAAATTCATAAATGGAAAGATAACATTTTGCTGATATACCCAGGCCAATTGAAAAGGTGTGCTGTGAACACCAATCACTATTGCAATGTTAAGTATCAAGTCTTGTTATATTACATAATAAAAATCTATTAAAACTAGTAATAAAAACTTGTACTCACCATATTATGGATACAATTTGTTAAAGTCCATGCAATAGGAACAGAAAAAATTGGAATAGACAGCAGCAATACATGAAGGACTGCCACACCAGTGAGATAAGATAGAATTGCCCCACGACTGCTATGCCAACTTGAGTTGGGATTGACTTCTCCGTGGCCTCCTAATAACATACTAATTTTTTGTTGTCTTCCTAATGTCTAAAAGATGATGTATACTTCTGTAAAATACAGCAAAAATATCATGTTCAGGCAAATTCTGCCATAGAATTGCAAATGAAAAGTTTGTTATTTGTGATGGAGACACAGTACTGTAATCATCATGAGAAATATTTAACTTCACAGCTGTCATTCCAGGGAGGAGTTCTTTAAATGAACAAAGATTTTAAAATCTTTGTCCATTTAAATATATTTGAATACTGAATATTGCTTCCATACAAGCAATATTCAGAGTTGCCGCTAAGCCAGTTGAAAATTTAAAAAATATATTGGACCAAAATTTTACTTAAATGTTTGATTTTTCAAAAGTTATTCCAGCTCCTACAAGTTGATAAGCTGAAAGCTAATATAAATTGTTTAATTATATATTAGAGAGCAAAATATTTGAAAAATTTATAGGTAATTACAGGTTCATGAATCATGTCTGTGCATGCAAGTCAGTGATTGACTCAAGTTATTTTATGCATCACATTTTTATTTCAAAATAAAAACTCAGTGCATGTGATCAACTGCTTCTGCCCAATTTTCCATAATGAGGATTTGACATCAACATATGACTACAAACTACAAAGCTGTTTTAATTGCATCAATGACACAAAAGTTGCCACTAAGCACACACTACTGCACCTGATAGGAAATTTCACTTTCCTAAGAGACTGAGACTAACTAAATTTTCAAATGGATTTGAAGGAAATATCTATTATTGCCTCAGAATTACTTACCCTCAAAAGGGGTAATAAGGGACGGTTTGGAGCATTTTTTCTTAATAACTTCCTCCCATGAAACATTTCATAAACAAATTTGAGCTCATTTTAAAGCTCTTTGCGAGGGATATCGAATGGCATCTCCAAAATAATTTCATATTCTATTTGTAAGGTGGCAGGCACAAAATGAAAGAATACTGATTTACCTCTGGAAACATTGTAATCTGGGACACTTGAAATAGAAGTAAATTTTAAAATGTTTGAAGCATGCAAAGTGTACTCATCCATTACTAACAGTACTCTGAAGTCCTCCTCTTCCTTTGTAGATGATGTAGATGTAGAATACATGACATTTTCTGTGATTTTCACTCATTTTTCCTTTAGGGTAAACACACCATATACCAACATCTTAAGGACATAGCAAGAAATAAATGGCTATAAATAGATCACCGTATGCGCAACTCAAGTTCTGATTGGTCGCCGTCACTCTAAAAACACCACACTATGCGCCAGCATTGATGAAATATCACAAACTTGTGCCATATTTATTTAAAAGCCTTTAGAATTCAAATCTACAAAATTGCTGAATTCCGACACGCGTGTGACTAAATGCGGCATATTGTGAGACTAATGCCGACAGCGCTTCAAAATCGTAATTCATAATTCCGACACCCTGTATGAGCTGTAGCAGAATATGACACACGGCTGTCATGGCTGGTGTTGTAATTCCGACACCGTGTCGGAATTAGTTTTTATTGTCTAAAACCGTCTCTCAAATTAATCATCTATTAATTTATTAACTGCTTAAAATCAGCAAATACAAGTAGGTATACACTTAAAGGATTCCTAAGGTATATTCACACACTTATATAAAAGTCTCAAACCATAATATTCTTTCTACACAAAGAGTTTATCACTATTTGGTAGAGCAAGGTCAACTATCAACTTTCACATATGTTTCGATGTTCTCACTGGGTGACGTGGACTTTTGCTCTGCGGATCTTAACATTTTCCACCAGACCTAGTGTTTTGCGGAAATATTATGCGCAATAGTATGACGTCACTATTTCAACCATCTATGAATGTGTGGAACTAAGACAAAGCTTAATATAAAGGCAAAAGTTCCGAAGTGTTGGAATTACCCAGTGTCGGAATATGGTGCGTTTACCCTATTGATATGATACAACCATATCCATACATTTTCGTAGGTATTATTGATGTGATATTACCATTTCCATGGACATGCTATTGTGCACTTACAATGACTTTTTCCACTGCAAGCTTCATATAAGCAGCCATATAGCACTTTTCTGTATCTGTCCGAGAGTAGGTCGCGGAAACAAGTCCTCATGTGTTTACCAACAGACCTAGTTAGCTATTGAGTCCACAGTGTCACTGAGACCTTGCCATACAGCGTATGTGTCACAGAGAAGTGATCAATCACGCAATCAAGACCTTAGCAAAGCTTATAAAAGGTCTAGCAAACTTAAGTAGTGCCCCCAGTAGCTGATGAGCACTCCGCGATGTAGCGTGTAGCTTGAGTCGCTCTGGCCTAACCGGCCGTCACTTGCTTATATCTGTATAACGCTTGCATATTACTACCCCGTATAGAGATAATCTCTCCGTTCAGTCATGTGGTGCCACTCCAAATCTTTCATCAACATGTGACACTGGCGTACCCGAACAGTGTCCCTGTTCAGGCGCCACTGTCACAGGTTGTAAATTAACTACAAACTATGATATTGAGCTCTATATATTAAGTTCTACCTGAGGATAGGGTTTTGTTGACTAAGGTAGTGAGTATAAGTAAGACACATAAGCCAGATAACGTATCTTGTATACGGGGTGGTAATACAAAGTTGCGATACAGAGTCACGTTACATACAGAGTTACGTTACAAGTTACGCTACATCGCGGAGTGCTCATCAGCTACTGGAGGCACTACTAAAGTTTGCTAGACCTTTTATAAGCTTTGCTAAGGTCTTGATTGCGTGATCGATCACGTGTCTCTGTGACACATATGCTGTATGGCAAGGTCTCAGTGACACCGTGGACTCAATAGCTAACTAGGTCTGTTGGTAAACACATGAGGACTTGTTTCCGTGACCTACTCTCGGACATATCTGTAAGCTTACAGGAAGGCTTGTAATTTCACCCCATTTTCATTGGGTCAAGTGTATTCACTATAACAAAAAATAAAAAATCATAAAACATGTATAGTACCTAAAACAGAAAGGTATATTCTAGTGACAACCATCCTATTTTTTGGAGGAATAAATCATAGTTTAGGTTAATTACTTTTCATTTTATTTTGCCTGGTGCACAATTACATCTGACATTCTATGCACAATAATGTGATGTAAATGTGATGTAAAATCGTAAAAACATACATAGAACAGAAAGGAATACCGTCAACCGGGGCTACTTGGGATGGTTTCGAGCGTTTTTTGTTAATAACTTCTTACATGAAACATTTCATAAACAAGTTTAGGCTCATTGTATAGCTCTTTGCGAGGGCTATCGAATGGCATCTTCAAAAAAATTCCATATGCTATTCATAAGGTGTCATAAGCAAAAAAAAAAGAGTGTCCCAAGTAGCCCCGTCGAACGGGGCTACTCGGGACACTTGGAATAAAACTTCATTTTAAAATATTTGAAGCATGCAGACTGCAGAGTGTACTCATCCATTGCTAACAGTAGGTACTCTGAAGTCCTCCTCTTTCATTGTAGATGATGTAGAGGTAGAATAAATGACATTTTCTGTGATTTTTACTCGTTTTTCCTTCATTTATTTTCCTTTTCTCATTTTTCCTTTATTTTTTCTGTATCTGTAAGCTCACAGGACGGCTTGTAATTTCACACCATTTTAATTGGGTTAAGTGAATTTACTATAAAAAAATATAACTCAGTACCTACTCACTGCAGTGAGTGACAGAGAGCGCATTTTCTTGTCGACAAAAACTTGAGGTCACAGACGGACAGACAGATGAACGGACAGACAGACAGATGGACATGGCAAGCACAATAGTGCATTTTTTCCATAAATGAGAAATGTGCTAAAGAGATCGTAAAAAACATACCTGAAACAGAAAGGAATGTTTTAGTGACAACCATCATATGTTTTGGAGAAATAAATCATGGTTTAGGTCAATTACTTTTCATTCTATGATGCCTGGTGCACAATTCTAAATATGACATTCTATGCACAATTTTGTGATGACCGATGATGCATTAATTTTTTGATAAGTGAACTTTTTTTTGCTCAGCAAGGTATATGTAATCAATATTCTTTGTGTTTAATCAATTTTTTTCATAACTGGAGCCTTTGCTAACTGAAGTTCTACTGTAAATGTGCTTTTAGGGGTGTCCTGAATAGCCCCGGGGCCGAAGGGGTGTCCCAAGTAGCCCCTCCGTGCGGAAATGACCGCCATTTTTTTTTTTAATGAGATAGGCAATATCTGTCAATTAAGTTTTCAAGCCAACACCTGGGTGCAACTTTTATGTAGTAAAATTTTTTAATATGGTGAATATTTTTTACTAAAGACCTTAGCAGAAGTAACTTTTCAAAATATCATTTTTCACCATTTTTTCAGGAATTTTTCAAAGCTAGTGAATAAAGTATTTTTGAACTTCCTTTATACTACATAGATAGGAAAAATGTTGACATTTACACCACTATATTCAGTTTTGCAATATTCCAATTAGTTTTGCTACTAAAACAGTTTTACGCCATGTCGGAGGACTGTCCCCAGTTACCCCGCCCGTCCCGAGTAGCCCCGGGTGATGGTATTCTAGTGACAGCCATCCTATTTTTGGAGGAATAAATCATAGTTTAGGTTAATTACCTTGCATTTTATGTTGCCAGGTGCACAATTATATCTATGACATTCTATGCACAATTATGTAATGTCTGATGATGCATTAATTTTTCATTAGGAGGAATTTTTTTGTTGTTAATTGATTTTTCATTAACTAGAGCCTTTGCTAATCAAGGTTCTACAGTTCAAGTTTATGCCACTATTTTTAGTTTCACAATATTTTGATTAGTTTTGGGACTGTTTGGCTGCAACAAAATTTCTACGAAATGAGGAATGATTGTCTTTATTTACCCTACCCATCCCTTATTACCCCATTTGATGAGTCAAACAGGGTAATAAGCCATAAGGGACTGTTTTCAGCGTTATTTTGTTGATAGTTATTATTTAACATAGTGGCAAAGCATAAAGTTTTTTAGACTCTCCCTCCAGTTCATTTTTGAGTCCTATAAGTAGACCAGTAAAGTATCATGGATACCAGCATTATCATGCTTAAGAAATTGGTATAAATCTTGAGTTATTGAGGAAATTAAAAATGAAAGGATTCCAAAAAAGCTCTGGTTTGCCAATTGCCACTATGGTTATTAACAAAAAATGCTCAAAACCTATTGATGAGGTAATAAGGGACGGTTTTGAGCATTTTTTGCTAATAGTTATTAACAAAAATTGCTCAAAACCATCCCTTATTCCCCCGTTTCACCATTTGACTCATCAA